GTATATGTATACATACATATATATATTTATATATATAGTAGATAACCATGTTTTGAGGTGTACATACATCATGGAATGGTTACAGGCCAGTTACACTCACACACCTATCACCACAATGGATTCAAAAAGAACAAACATCTATAAATTAAAAGCCAAAGTCTGGAGAAGTCTTTTGAGACCTCTGGTTGTTCTCATCTGTATAGCTCTTACCCTCATTCACACTATTCTAGCCAACTGGTCTGGTCTCTGATCCCTAATCCTGTCAAGTAGCCTACTGCCTCAGGACCTTCGAATCTGCAACATTCCCTGCTTGGAATGATCACCCCCCAGAAAAATCCACCAGGTTTGCTACCTAGTTCCCATCAAGGATCAACTCAGTGCTCTCTCCACACACTGGCTACTTTAAGCATGATAAAACCAGCATGCCTCTATGACCTTTTCTTTCTCCCTGCTTTACTTTTCCCAGTCACTATATTATACATTGTTTGATGATCTGTTTCTCTTATATCACCCAAAACTAACTTTCACCTTATTTTTAGCATCCCCATCATTTCTCTTCCTCTTAACCATCCAATTCTCTCCAATTCCATTTCTCTCAGCTTTTTCATATCATTTTCCATAGTAGTTAGAATTCCACTTCTCCATTTGTGTTAGCACAAACTAGTGGGCCAAAGTTTTAGTTCTTTCAATAATGACCTTTCTGGAAACTAATATTACCTACCATTCCATGACTTGAAATGTTCAACTACAACTTCTTCCAATTTCTTTAACTTTGGATGACTATAGACAAATGTTTTCTCTTTATCTCCTGGGGGGGGGGGAGAAACAAACATTTTTTTCTATGTTTTTCTGTATCAATTATCTTAATTTATATTAACTTTTTTGAAAATACACACGTGAGAGCTAGAAAGAGGGCTCAGAGGTTAGGAGTATGCACTGTTCTACCAGAAGACCCAAGTTTGGTTCCCAACACTTACCTCAGGTAGCTCACAACTGCATGTAACATCAGCTCCACGAGCATCCAACACCTCTGGCCTCCATGGGCACCCACACTCATGTGTACATACTCACCCACAGACACATATACACACATATAATTAAAACTAATTAAAATAAATTTCAAAAAAGAAAACACACATGTTAAAGACTTACTTTTTTTCAGCCAGGTGTGTTGGGACATATCTGTAATCCCTGTACTAGAGCGGTAGAGGCAGAGGAAGTAGGAATTCAAGGACAGCCTCAACTACAGACAGTACTCAAGGCTACCCTTGGCTACATGAGATTCTGTCTCAACAAAACCAAACCCTGAAACCTTTTTTGGTGTTTTTCAACAGTAAGTATCATCTAGATGGTATATAAATACAAACAAAAAAATCCTTAACTTTCATAAAAATTTCATTCTGAGAGAGAATTCAAATGAGAATCAGCAGCAAAGCAAAAGGGGGGAAAAGTACATTTTAAATTAAACTACAGATCAGTGTTTTATAGTTCTGAGAATTTTCACTACTGGTAACTATTGCTGACATATGTATCACACACACACACATACACACACACAGAGAGAGACATATGTGTATAAAGCCTATTAAGTTTATAAAAAAGTCACACATTAATCCTAACACCCTAATGCACTGAACATAAAAATATGCATTTAACAGGTCTGTTGTTACACAAATGGTAGAAAGTATAGCCAGATATGAGTATCGGTGGAGAACAGTCTCAAAATTAATCTTAGTAAAGGAAAACAACAGAATTGTACTTACTACTTATTTTTTGTGAGGGGTTTTGCTATGCTGCCCAGGCTGGTCTGAAACTCCTGACCTGAAGTAATTTTCCTGCCTTGGCCTCCCAAGAAGCCACCACCATGCTCAGTTAAAACAATACATAATTGTAAATGAAAAAGCAGACCTCTTTGGCAGGCAGGGCCATCGCTTGCTGAAGTGCCATGCACGTGTACAAACAGACTCTCCAGGTGATTATAGAGTTTCATGAAGTCCTCATTTCGGTTAAGTGCATTTTTTGCCCGTGTCATTCCTTCAGAAATTATTAAAAGGTTTTACAAATACACAAGAACAAATCAATATTTATTTATCAATATTTATTATATTTATCAATATTTACCAATATTTATTATTCATTAAAAAGAAATTGAACTTTAGGAATGAAGGCAAAATTCTCAAAATTTAACATGAAAACTAACCATTTTTTCCAGTTTAACCATAAAAATGCATTATTTTGTAGCAAACTATCAAAAAATAAAAATAAAGCATTTTAAGTTAACTCAAGATAGGTTAATTCAAACTGCTCAGTGTCTCTAAGCACAATAATACATGTCAGCATTTCTTTAAACAATTTCATATAACTCACCTTTAGTTCCATCCATAATTCCAGAAAGGAAGAAATACAATGATCTCATTCCCATTTGCTGCAGTAACTCAAAACCGTGATATAAACTAATACAAATGGCAAACTCCCCCTCAATCACGCCTTGCTGTATTCCCTGGAAGAAACACACGTCAAACTTCACCAGAGGAGAAGATGGAGATGCATACTCTAGCTAATGCTGGTGTAACACAGCAGAGCTCAGATGATCAGAACCACTCCTTACACTGACTTGTTGGTTCTACTAATGGCCTGTTAAAACACACCACATATGCATTATAACACACCACATATGTGGCTATGGAAAAAGGTCAGTGTAGTTTCCATATGAAACCAATCACGTTTTTTAAAAAAGTCACCAGGAAACAAATATTTATTTTTCTTTATAGGTAAATTATTAGCAATATATGGATTCATGTGTCTTGTCAAAACTATTAATAAATACCTACCACAGGTTAAGTACTGAGGCAACTATATGAAATGTAATGGAAAAGAAAAAATTGGATATAAACTTATCCTCATGAAGGACATAAGTTTTTGTTTTCTTAGGTTTTTCTGTGTGTGATAGGGACATCCGATGTAGCCCCAGCTGGCCTTAAACTCATAGCAATCTTCCAGTCTATTGAATGCTGGGATTATTGATAATGTGCCACCACACCCGGTTAGGACAAACATTTGTATATAGCGTGTTTAACAAGAGCATGTAACATCAAGTAACACGTCACAATACTAACACTGGGCACTAAGCCAGTGTTCCAAGTATATTACTTCAACAAACTCATTTAATCTTAACACCTAAAAGACAGGTGCTGTTATGATCACTTTACAGATGAGAAAAGGCGTATCCATAAGAGAGCTTTAAAAGACCTGAGAATGTTTTATTTTCCTGTACTTGAGATAAAGAATACCATTTCCTTCCTTCCTTCCTTCATTCTATCTATCCAGACATCTAAGTTGTTTTTGAGACAGCTCCCCCAACCCCAAACAAAAACCTAGGCTGCCTAGAACTCTCAGGCCCTCCAACTCTGCCTGCCCCAGGGCTGAAATTATAGGCAAGGACCGCCATGTCCAATTTAAATCTTCTATTTTTTTTTCCCCCAGACAGGATCTCACATAGCCCAGGCTAGCTTTAAAAACTCCTGATCTTCCTGCTTCCACTTCCCAAATGATTGGACTATAGTTAGGTGCTACCATGCCCAACTAAAACTTCTACTTTGCAGTTTCAGTAGCATTTAACATTAACGACTATCATTTGAAATATTCCCGTAACTCTCTGTAAAATATAAACTCTCAACAGTAAGATCAAGTTCAACAGGTCTTTGTTTACTATTTAAAATTTCAACAAGCATTTAATTCTTAGCAGAAATTAAAGCTTCGTTATCAAAACATTGGGTTTTTTCTTTTTTTTTTTTTTTTTTTATAGGATTTTTGGTAGCCGCCCAGGCCAGCTTCTAACTATGTAGCCGAGGTTGGCTGTGAATTCCTGACCTTCCTGTCCAAACCTCACCAGTGTTAGGATTTTAGGTATGAGTCACTATGGCCAGCTTAACTATCTGTATAATATACTGAAATTTCCCAGGGAAGGCTCCTGTAGTGGTCCCCTGGACACTGAAAAATAAAAACTGTATTTCTTGGCACAACAGTTAAAGCTACTCCCATGCAGTCACACGTAGATTAGCAATCACATCTGGCTTTCCCAATCCTCTATCTCAGTCAGATTGGCTTGGTCACTGTCTTCTATATGTCTCTTTTCAGTTAGCTCTGTCCTTTTACCCAAAGGTTCCTTCTCAGTTCAAAGAATGACTCAGAGCTTGTTTGTATGGTACACATCTCTTCTGACTTTGGACCTAGACTCTAGTTATTTTCCTATCCACCTATTATTTTTCTTTTTTCTCTCTCTCTACATATATTTATTATTGTGCATTTCATACATCTTAATCATATTTAGACCTTCCCCCTATATACAATCCCCCATAGTCCCCCCACACAATTTCATGCGTTTTGTCATATACATTAGACCTATCGAGTCAAGTTTGTGTCCCCAGATCTCCACTGGTGTGAGTTTATCCACTAGAGCCTGGTCAGTCTAGCTAGCATAACTCTTAAGAAGACCAACGCTCCCTCACACAGCAGTGATCAGCTGCCAATAGTCCCTTAGCTAAGGCTGGGGTTTCTTGCTCATTTCCCGAGTTCTATGCTTAGTTTTTGACTGACTGTTTGCAAGGGTCTTGTACATGCTGTCATAACTGCTGTAAGTTCATCCACCTACTATTTTTCTAATAAAAATTAAAAATAAGGGGCTGGAGAGATGGCTCAGCAGTTAACAGTACTGGATGCTTTTGCAGAGGACTGTGGTTCGATTCCCAGTACCCACATGGTAGCTAGCAACTGTTCATCACTCCAGTTCCAGGGGACCTGATGCCCTCTTCTGACCTCCATGGGTATTGCATGATATGGGTGCATTCACATACATGCAAGCATAACACTCATACACATAAAATAAAAATAATAAATTTAAAAACAAGAAGGTTGTGGGCTACCAAAATGGCTCGGCAAGTAAAGGTGCTTACCATCAAGACTAACGGCCTGATTTCAATCCACATGGTGGGAAAAAAGAACTAACTCTCACAAGTTGTCCTCTGACCTCCACAGATGTGCCATGGCATATGAGTGCTCACACACAAACACACAGAACTATAAATAAATAAATGTAATTTAAAGTTTTTTTAAAGCTTGCTATAATGCTTTGTCTGGCTGCTGGTATCAATAATCAGACTAAATATTATAAATTTAAATGTTAGAATCTACTCTTTCATGATTCTATGCTATTACAAAATATAAATGGACTAAAAGACCATTTATTAAAAGGCAAAACACAAGGGCTGGGGAGATGGCTCAGCAGGTAAAGGCACTAGCCACACAAGTCTCACAATTTAGTCAGTGCTAGAACCCACATAAGAAGCCAGATTGAACTGAGTATTTCCTGAGGCAGAGGCAGGCGAATTTCTGTGAGTTCAAGGCTAGCCTGGTCTACATAGCAAGTTCTAGGCTTGCCAGGACTACATAGTAAGACCCTATCTCAAAAAAATAAATAAAAATAAAAAGGCCAAATATGGTGGCGCACATCTATAATCCTAGCACTCCTACTGCACAATGGGCAATGGAGACAGCAAAATCAAGCTTGTGGGCCGGCAGCCCTGGGCACACAGTGAAGCAGCAGATGCAACACAAAAGACCCTTCCTCAACATGGTGGAAGGAGAGAACTGACTCCCAAAAGCACTCCTCTGACCTCCACAGGAGCACCATGGCATGTGTACACCATGTGTGCACACGCATAGGAGTATACACACACACACACACACACACACACACACACACACACAAATTAAAACAAACTTTAAAACATAAATTTAACTCAAATCAGTAAACTATATTTTTGCAAGATTTTGTTACATTTTTATAAACCATATAAATCATAACTAAATTCCTTTAACATTTTTTATTACATTTGTTTACTTTATGCATGTTTGTATTTATGGACACACATGTACCAAGCACGCACATGAAGGTCAGAGGACAACATCTGCAAGTTCTTTCCTTCTACCATGTGGGTCCCAATGACTAAATTCAAGTCATCAGGCTTGGTGGCAAGCACTTTCTCAGAGAGCCACCAGCCAGACCCCTACACCCTTGCTTTGAGATAGAGTCTCACAGTGTAACCCAGACTGGCCTTCAATTTGCAGCAATCCTCCCACCTCAGCTTCCCAAGTGCTAGAATTACAAGTGTGAGCTACCATGTTTGTCATAAATCATATATAAATTCTTAATAATTATTTTTAATTACATGGATACACATGTAATTATATATATTACACGTGTTTGTGTGAGTGCAGTGCCGACAGGGGCCAGAAGAGGGCATCAGATTCCCTGAAGCTGGAGTTACAGGTGGTTGTGAGCCTCCTGATGAGTGTGCTGGACACCAAACACAGGTCCTCTGGAAGAGCAGCAAGCACTCTTAACCCCTGAGCCACTTCTCCAGCCCCCATATGTAAATTTTTTTTGTTTTTAATCTTTTTGAGACAGGGTCTCCCTGCAGCCCCAGCTGACCTAGAACTTGCTATGTAGACCAAGCTGGCCTTGAACTCTCAGCGATCTGCCTGCCTCTGCCTCCCAAGTGCTGGGGTTAAAGGTGTGTGCCACCATACCTGGCAGCCCATATGTAAATTCTTAATGAACTAATATATACCTGATAAATCATCATTTATATTTATCCCAGGCTATCATTTGAAAATTGGTATGTAAGTAAAATTTATTTTAAAATACTTACCACTACTTGGAAGGCAGAGGCAAGTGGATTTCTGAGTTCAAGGCCATCCTGGTCTACAGAGTGAATGCCAAGCCAGCCAGGGGTACACAGTGAGACCCTGTCTTAAAAAAAACAAAAAGCAGGACTTGAAAGATGGTCCAGTGGTTAACAGCACTGACTGCTCTTGCAGAGGACTCGGGTTCAATTTACAGCACCCACATGGTGGCTAACAACTGTCTGTAACTCCAGTTACAGGGCCTCCGACACCCTCCTCTAACTGCCACAGGCATTGCATGACACAGGTGCACTTACACACATGAAGACAATACACTCATACACATAAAAAATAAAAATAATAAATAAGAAAATACTAAAAAAGTAAAAAAGAAACAAATACCTACCTTAATATTTGGAGATGGGTTTTTCCTAAACTGATCTCTTGCCAGAATTATCTGGTATTTTGTTAGGCTGGGGATATCCCTTCTCATTAAAACATTCTTCTCAATCAATGAACTTGCAAATGTTTCCAAGATCTGCAAATTCAAAAGAAATTTAGTTCAAGCTTTCTTTAAAGTTCTTTTTCGAGGCTGCAGAGACAGCTCAGAGGTTAAGAACACTGGTTGTTCTTACAGAAGACCTGGGTTCGAATCCCAGAACCCACATAGGAGCTAACAACTGTCCATAACTCCAGTCCCAGGGGATCCGACAGCCTCTTCTGCGCTCCTCTGGCATTGCAGGACATGGGTACACTTACCTACATGCAGGCAATACACTCATACACAAAATAAAAATAGTGAATAAGGTTTTATTTTTAAGGTTAAAAAAATTTCTTTCTCAAATACAGTGATTCTGTCATATATTAAGAGTTCTATATTTAATAAAGTTTACTCTGAAATTATTTTTTTAATTAATTTTTAAACACATAGAGCAAATTTTATCCCATCTCTCAATGGGAGAAGTACCAAAAAAAAAAAAAAAATCTTTTGAATCCATGACAATGAAGATTTGAAATCATGCTGATCATCAATGGTGAGAGTAGTTATAAAGTACAGACAGACAACATGCAGCCTCCAAATTCCCACTCAAAGTTAAGGCTCTAGCAGTTTCTCAACAGCTACAACAGTGGCATATTGATAAGTGGGCCAGAGAATTAATTCCTTGTTATGGGGTGGCTGTTCTGTCCACGGCATGCTGCTGAGTCACTTCTTGGTATGTATACACTTCTATCAGCAGCAACTCTACACCAGGTCCTTTTTCTTCTTCGCCCCTTGCTCCCAGTTAAAACTTCAAAAAAAGGGTCAAGACATTGCCAGATGTCACCAGGTGGGAAAAATCACTTCCATTTGAGAACTCTATTGTAAGCATATGATAAAGAAACTTTTGCCTGAATTTGGGTATATTAGAGATGTGCTCACTTTGTGAAAATCCAAGGAGTCATGTTTTGTGCAGGATGCTATATATATATATATACACACACACACACACACACACACACACACATATATATGTATGTATGTGTGTGTGTGTGTTTCATACTATTATTCACAGGTTCACTAAAAGGGATTAAATTGGAGCTGGATAGATGGCTCAGCAGTTAAGAGTATGTACTACTCTTCCAGAGAACCAAAGTTCAATTCCCAGTACCCAAATCAGGTGGTTTCTCAACCACTTGTAAGTCCAGCTCCAGAAGATGATGTCTCTAGCCTCTTCCAGCACCTGTACTCACGTGCACATGCCTGTACACATGTGTACACACACACACATATAAAACTGCCAGGTGTCATGGCCCATTCCTATAGCATGGTGAATTTATTTTTATTTTATTTATTTACTTATTCATTTATTTTGGTCTTTTTGAGACAGAGTCTCCCTACTATGGCCCCAGAAGGCCTGGAACTTACTACGTAGACCAGGCTGGCCTTGAACTCACAGATATCTGCCTGCCTTGGCCTCCCAGTGCTGGGATTAAAGGCGTGTGCCACCACTCCCAGCTGAATTCCTGTAATTTTAATACTCAGGAGGCTGAGTCAAGAGGACTGTAAATTCAAGTCCAGCCTAGATTATATAATGAAAGCCTGTCTCCTTGGGTTCAAAAAAAAAAGGTTAGAGTCATCTGGGCAATTGTTCCTGTCCAGGCATGGAGGCAGATACCTGTAATCTGAACTCCACCATACCCATTTTAAGGCTATTATTTTACAAATGGTCCATCTTATGTAAATAAAAAAATTAGTATAAAAATAGAGCTGATCTCAAAGATTTTTTTTTTGGTGGGGGCAGTTTCTGAGATAGGGTCTCTCTGTAGCCCCAGCTAGCCTACGTAGACCAGGCTGGCCTCAATCTCACAGAGATCCGCCTGCCTCTGCCTCCAGAGTGCTGGGATTAATTAAGACTTTTTTCAATCTATTATATAAAATGAAATACTGTATATACACTCTACTATATTTTAACTGAAATAATTATATTACCAGTTCATTTATCAAAACCCCAAAACTGATAGAAATTGCTTACCTGGACATATGTTTTTTGGATGGCTACAAGCTCTTTACCAAGGGGAACAATGATCTTTTCAACTCGTCTTTCATGCGAATATGGCAAAATATCTGGAGAATCTTCCGAACAAAGCTCTATCTTCCCAATGAGTAGGTTAGTAATAACCTGTTGCACAGCCTACGAATCAATCAATATGACCATAAATTTCTTTGGTTCAAGAACTAACAGCAAAATCTTGAAGGAAGCACTTTAAATTCATATAATTAAATATATATAAAAGGCAAGCCCATATAGAAAGAGTATCTAAAGTAGCAGGCCTATAACTGGTGAGGCTGAGGCAGTAAGATCACATGCTGTGTAAGTGTGAGTACTGAGTTGGGATCCCAGTATGCACAACAAAAACAAGCTCAATGTGACCACACATGCACCCCAGTACTGGGGATCTAGACAGGGGGATCCTTGGGACTTTCTGGTTCCCAGCCTAACTCCAGGTTCAGAGATAGACCCTGTCTTAAAAGAATAGGAAGAGGATGATGTGACAAAATTGGATACCTGACATCCTCTGGTGTCTACATTTGAGCACAGGCAGGCATATCCCCCACCTGCATGTGCATAAACCACATACACCACTCATATGGGCATGCACACACATATGTATACACCACATACACTACTCACGTGTGTACATGCACACCCACACTCATACATACACTCAAAGGTACACAATCATATACACCCCCCCAAACACATGTACATACATCATGTATACCACTCACACACTCATGCATACACACTCATACACATATACATACACACACATACACACATACACACACACACACAAACAATACAAAGAAAATAAAAAAAATAACAAGTAAGGCTGTCTTTTGATAGTTAAAATACATCTTTTAGAAGAAGTTTGTTTTCTTTGGTTTTGTTTTGAGACATGATCTCCCTGTAGCCCCAGCTCACTACATAGACCAGGATGGCCTCAGTCTCACAGAGATTCTACTGCCTCAGGCTCCAGAGTGCTGAAATCAAAGGCGTGTACCACAGTTCCTGGCTGAAAGAAAATATTTAAGTAGAGATTTAACAGCTAACTGAAAACAATTAAGCATGCTTAAATACGAATAAGGAAGAGGCAGAAGCAGGAGGGATCTCTGAGTTGAAGGTCAGCCTGGTCTAAGTAGTGAGCTCCAGGCCAGTCCCGGCTACAAGGAGACCCAGTCTCAAAAACAGACCAAAAAAAAAGCCGACTGTGGTGGTCCATGCCTCTAATTCCCAAGGCAGGTGGATCTCTGGACTACACAGGCTGCATAGCAGAAGGAAGGAAATAAGAGACTATGTACAGAGTATGAAATTCTCAAAGAATTAAAAAAAAGAGAGACTAAAACCACCCCAGAAAGCATCTACAGATGAAGAGCATTCAGAGCTATTAAAATCAGGACCCAATGGAATGGCACTCAGTACCTGATCTCCAGGCTGGGGTACAGTTCAAGTGGTAGACTGAATGCTTATCATGCTGAAGCCCTGGCTCAGTCACCAGCACCAAGGAAAAAAAGTCTACATTTTTACTATTATCCACAACTCCCTGGAGAAATGGTTGATCCCATGGTTACAACAGGAAAATACTAAATAAGCATAACATATCTTGTGAGGCCACAGTTAGGAAGTAGCTTGAAAATAAAAAATCCAAACCAAACCAAAACAGGTGATGTGGTAGTGCATGTCTAAAGGACACAGGAGCCATCTCAGAAATTCCCAGTGGGGGCGTTAGCCAGATACAGCCATGCCCATCCTCCTGCTTTGGGACCATCTCCAATTCAGCTGCTCCAGAGCTCAGGCCTTCTTAAGAACCAGTCCATCCTGTTCCCATGGCCTCTCCTTGGGCTTTGGCCCCATCCTGCTGAGGGTCCCCAAGAGTGCCCAACTAGCTGTGACAAGTGTACCTTGTAAGCTATTACAGAGTTCCAGAACTGGTCAAATACAGAGAAGAAGTATCTCTGAGACACTTAACCCTAAGTGACACATCTTCAAGGCAACCCCTACATAGGATGAATGCATCGCTCAGCTTTCACCTGACAAGTTTCCTTATGCAGCGATGGTGATTAACAGAAAAACCCACAATTGGCCAATGTGCAAAGGACAAGAGGCCACAGAGAGTTTATCCCTGATTAGGTCAGCTCCTTCAAACCTCTGCCTCCTAAGGCTCAGGGATCATTGCCGAAGAGGAAGCAGAAAGATTTTGAGAGTCAGAGGGGGTGGATGGCCACAAGGAAACAGTCTTCCAAACGGTCGGTTACTCATGAACTCACAGCAGTGGTGACAGCATACACAAGACCTAGCAAACTCAGACCAGATAAAAATTCCAGCATAGACACTAGGAAGTGGGTAAGAAATCTCAGCCCAACCAAATGAACTTCTAGCAATTGATGGCTGCTGGGAGGGGGAGAAGCAGTATCTTACAAGGATGGGATTCTTGGTGAGCCCAGTAAATAGACCCACACTGAAGGACATTTGGGGACACAAATCAGACTCTATAGGTTGTATTATATATGTATATGAGAGTACATTAAATTGGGTGGGGGCAGTGGAGGGATGTGTGGATAGGGAAGGAGATCTAAATACCACCAAACTATATTGTATGAAAATCTCAGAAAGTCAATAAAAAATAAAATTAAAAAAACAAAAGTGCAATATAAAATTACAGTACATTATTACAAAGGATATACATAAATACTTTTTTCTTTTAGTTACTGTGCTATGGAGAATAAAAATGCCTAAAGAAAGAAATTCCCAGTGGGCAGAGCAGGGACAATCTGACATAAAGCTGATAACGATAGTGCTGGATTTAGTCCAAAAAACAATAAATATTCATCAGTGCATGGATACACAGGAATGAATAAGTAGGGTTTTGAGAAAGCATAGGTCTTCATTACAGAAGAGTTCACATTATGAACGTAAAAGTGAGCTAGGGATTATAGCTCCTTGGAAGAGTGTCTGCCTAGTGTGCATGAAACCCTGGGTTCATTAGCACAAAGCACAAAAATGGGCCTGGTGTTGCACATCTATAATCCCAGCATTTGGGAGGTGGACGCAGGAGACCCAAGAGTTCAAGGTCATCATCAGCTATAGACTGAGTTCAAGACCACCCCAGACAATATGAGACCCTGTTCTAAGCCAGTCAGTGCTACTCCACAAGATAGTTATTTATTACATAGGTGAAAAGTAATTTTACAAGGCTGGGTGTGGGGGACAGCCTTTAATCTTAGTAATGGGAAGCAGAGTCAGGTGGATCTCTGTGAGTTCAGGGCCAGCCTCGTCTATATGAGTTCCAAGCCAGCTAGGGCTATAGAGTGAGACCCAGTCTCAAAAAGAAAAAGTAATTTTACAATGGAAAAGCCTAGAATACATCATCTTAATTCAAAATCATCAGCATCAGAAATAAGACCAATCAGCAGCATTGACTCCCTCCTAGGCTATGTGGCGAAACGTTCTGCTTCATTTCTAGGATATTCTTTTTTTTAAATTTATTATATATAACCATATAATAATCATATGATTAGAAGAAGCATTTCATTATAGCATTAACATATTCAATAACAATTTCCAGAGCAAAGATGCATCTCTTATGGCTGTAAATTTTTAGGTTCACAGTTGAAGTAACACAGTTATACAATATTGAACTCAGTATAAACCCTGTAAGACATAAAATCGAATGAGGTTTTAACCTTTAAAAAAGAACTCCATTTCATTTTAAACTATACTGTTTCATACAGAAAAACTCGTTTTTAATGCTACTAACAGACATTTGCACATGCATCTCTAATCTCTATGTATATGATTATTATTAGTCACAGTTGGGTACTTTCTGAGATCCTTGGCACCTGAGCATGGATATAAAGTCATCAGGTAGATGTCAATGGTAATGTTTTTCACCTCTACTAATTAAATATGAAGCAAATTTTTACACTTCTTTCTCAAATATAACTCATTTTTTTAATCTGTTGATTTTTTTTTGTTTGTGTGTATTTCATACAGAACATCCCAAACAAGCTTATTCATCTATATACCTACTTCCCAAATGGCACCCTCCCATAGCCTCCCCCCGGCCCCCCACTGGAGCCCATATACTCTGTCATCCCTGTTACTGTCCACTGTGTTGTGTTGTCAGCACCCCCAGCCATTCCCCAGTGTTTGTCCATCCACTGAATCTAGTCAGCCTATCTAGAGTTCCTTGTTTTAGGGAGATCAGCTCTTCCTCATCTAGCAGCACATTTCTAGGATATTCTTACAAAAATAAATACAATTACTCCATCACAAAAAGTATCAGACAAGCCCAACCTGAGTGATATTCTACAAAATAATTGGCACCTACTCTTCAAAAGCATAGAGGTGGTGGAAAATAAGACTGAGCATTTGTAACAGATTGGAAGGTGTTGGGAGCTATTATTATGGGCACAGCCATTGCTGCATTAGGCTGTGGCAGATTGCCTTGACTTAAGCATTGGAGAAAGAATGCTTTCATCCTGGGAGTTTTTCTGCTCTCTGCTTCTGCGGTCTGAGTTGACAGGCTATGCTTTCCTGATTAATTGGCAGTCTTGGAAACATAACCAAAGAGTTCTGTTCAGTTTATGGACACCGGAGTTTCTCAACACCGTTAGCTTGGTTTTTATATAGAAATACTGAGTTACAGTAGTTGCTAAGAGTAATCACAAACAGTACACCTTATATCTAAGATATTATAAATATTATGTAGCTAAACCTTGGATACTGTAAACGTGTGAGTTTCAGTTGAATGTATTCTTGGTAAAAACATAATGTGTCCTTGGTTATTCCTTAGCTACCTTCTATTTAGTGATGTATCCTTAGTTATTCCTTGGTTACTCCAGATCTGATTCCTATATAAGCTTGCTTTAGTTCACAATAAACATGCACTGGTACGCAAGCCTCTGCATCTCCTGCGTCCTGATTTCTATCCCTCGGGGTCCCCAAGCCCTTTAGGCTTGGACTGTGGTCACTGCACTGTGACAGGAAGGGTGAGAAAAGACATGTCAACTGAATGGAATGTGGGATCCTAGACCACACCCTGGAGCACAAAGACGCTGGTGGAACACTGGCGAAATTCAAAGAAGATCTGCAAGTTAGTTACTAGTTTAACAATTTTAATATTATGATTTGTATTTTATGGTTATATAAATGTTAACATCAGGAGAAGCTAGGTTGAACGACATAAACAGTTCAAGTTTTCCAAGTTTATCAATGCCAAACGAATTTGAAAATAAGACTTAAAAGAAAAATATTCATGGCCAGGTAAGGGAGTACAGGCCTGCAGATCCAGCTACTCAGGAGGCTAAGATAGGAGGATGACAAGCTCAGGTCCACCTGAACTACATGAGCTTAAGACGAGCCTGAGCAAGGCCTTCTCTCAAAATAAGGATCTAGAAGATGGCTGGGAATGGAGCTCAGTAGTACAGCACTTACATAGCATGCTTACAGTGCTGGTTCCATCTCCAGGACCACCAGTCACGGTTGGGGCTTACTTTCACAGTCCCAACTAAGAGGCTAAAGTGAAAAGATCCCCTGAGCCCAGAAGCTGAAGGCCTGTTTGGCAACATGTCTCATAAAAAATGGAAAAAAGAGGTGAAAGGGGGCAAGGGGAGGTAAAAGGAGGTAGGCTACTAATTTACAGAAACTTCTGCAGGTACAGAAATGCTATAATCCTAACATGAAACTAGGTAAACACTAAAATGGCAAATTAATCTGTTCCACATAAAAATATATATTTTCTTTTTTAAAAAAAATTATTAGGCTGGGAGTGGTGGCACATGCCTTTAATCCCAGCACTAGGGAGGCAGAGGCAGAAGCAGGTAGATCTCTCTGAGTTCAAGGCCAACCTGATCTACATAGTGAGGTCCAGGCTAACTGGAGCTACAGGGAGACACTGTCTCAAAAAAAAATTATTTTTATTTTATGTGCATGAGTGTACTGCCTGCATGTACATAGGTGCACCTGTGTTGTACAGTGCCTGAGAAGGTCAGAAGAGGGCTTCTGATTCCCTGAAACTGGAGTTATGGACAGTTATTAGCCACCATGTGGGTGCTGGGAATCAAACCCAGGTCCTCTGCATGAGTAGCCTTAACTGCTCTTAACTGCTGAGTCATCTCTTCAGCCCCCCCCTCAAATTTTTTTTCTTACACAGAAATCAATAGACATTGTACTTACCTTGATATCACTACCTGGTGTGGCACTAAGAGCCAAGATTCTAAAGTGATTTGTATATTTGACCAGTTCCCTTACAACCTTAAAACAAAAAAGAAAAAAGTCATTTAATTCTGTCTGTTCACTCTAAAAATAACAGTGGTTCTGTTAAACAAGCTGTTCTGTCTAGTCCACTATGATTCCTCAGTTGGTACATACCACGCTGTTGTTCTGGTAAACGAACTGACCCTAATCATATCATTCCATGAACAAATGATTTAGGCTCAATGAGACTCATGCAGAATCTTGACTAATACTCAAAACAGCATTTATGGCATTTTAAAGATGATACACATTGCATATAAAGACATAACATTGCACATAAGGCAGACTTAAGTAGAATTATTCTAATTAAGAATTGATACCAGGCATGGTGGCTCATGCCTTTAATCCCAACACTCAGAAGGCAGAGGCAGGCAGATCTCTGTGAGTTCAAGGCCAACTGGTCTACATAGCGAGTTCCAGGACAGCTGGGGCTACAAGGGAGACCCTGTCTCAAAAAGACCAAAAATAAAATAAAATAAAATAAAAAATTGATAAAAGTGGGACATGGTAGAACATATCTGTAATCTTAGCACTTGGGAGGCTAAGACAGGAAAATCAATCAAGACTAGCCTTGGCTACAAAATGAGTTTCAGAGTGAGATCTGTCTCACAAACTAGGGGAAAAATAGAATGGATGAAAGGCCTGGGGATGTAACTCAGTGGTAAAGTTCTTGCCTAGTATATACAAGGCCCTAGTTTCCATTTAAGCACCACAAAAACCAAAACCCTGATGCAAGATGAAATATCACCAATTACCATTCCTATTTTTGTCTTAGTGTTAGAAGTGATATCCTTGGATATGATAGAAGAACAAAATCAAAGTCATGGATGCAGCAAGGAAGACATCAACAGACCGCCTTCTGGACTGGTGCTTTTTTAGTTTTTAATTTGGATTTAGTTCATTTTATATGTATGTGTGTGTTCCTTAGTGTATGTATGTTCATCACATGCATGCAAGTAGTTGTAAGCCACCATGTGAGTGCTGGGAATCCAACCTAGGTCCTCTGGAAGAGCAACAAGTGCTCTTAACCACTTATATCTCTCTAGTCCCAGACTGGTCCTTCTAAAAAGCCTTTTTAGGCTGGGTATGGTGGGCAGCTCCAACTTCAGTTCTCAGGAAACTGAGACAGGAGGACTGGAACAGGTTCAAGGCTAGCATTAGTTATATAGAAAGACCCTGTCTCAAATAAATAAATAAATAAATAATAAATAAATAATAAATAAATAAATAAATAAATAAATAAATAAAAATATTTTAAAAATAGCCAGGTGTGGTGGCACACGCCTTTAGTCCCAGCACTTGGGGGGCAGAGACAGGTGGATCTCTGTGATTTCAAGGGCACCCTGGTCTGCATAGCAGAGTTCTAAGTCAGCTGGGGCTACAGGGAGATCCTGTCTCAAAAAGACAAAAAATAGTAATAATTTAAATAAATATTATTTGGGGTGGGCTGGAGAGATGGCTCAGTGGTTAAAAGTAAATACTGGTCTTCCAGAGGACCGAAGGTTCAATTCCCAGCAAGCACATCAGCTAGCTCACAACCATCTGTAACTCCAGCTCTTGGGGGATCTGACGTCTCTGGCTTCCTCAGGCACCTGTACTCACAATCACACACCCAAACACACATACACATAATTAAAAATAAAAATCTTTTAAAAATTATTAGGGTGAAGTGCGGGGATAAAGTTCAGCAATATGCTGCCTGTCTAACAGTCTGAGGCTCTAGATTCAATCCCTACTACTGCAAGAAAAAAAAAATTGCTACAGGGTAATCAGAATTCAAAGGGTTCTTTCAAATAGTCAGGCAGTTCTGTATGAAATAATGTTATTATATGTTACATGCACAAGTACATGTACAAGTACATGCTACATGTGTATGAACATTATTACACATGACAAATAAGTCAAAGTCAGGTTTGGTGCTCATAGCTAGAGTCCCAGCGCTTGGGAGCCTGAGGTAGGAGGAATGCTAAGAGTTCAAGGACTACCTGGGTTACATAGTGAGTTCCAGGCCATCTGGGATGACATAATAAGACCCTGTCTCAAAACCAAAACAAACTAAACCAAACCAAACCAAACCAAACCAAGCCAAAACAAAACAAAACAAAACAAAAACAAAATAAATGTATCCATTTCCTAGACAGAGCTAAAAAGATCAACTGTAAGAAATTATAATTCTTCCTAGGACAATGCAGAGATACACATAATGATACTTCAGATCTCCAAGGAAAAATGCAAATTCACAAACTGGCAGTGAAATGCATGTCTTTGAATTAAACGAAACTTTCCTTTTCCTCTTATATTCATAGTCCGTATTCTCTTCCTAATATCACTACTTCCACTAAATATCACTAGTTTTAACTACTATCTCTACTCTGATGATCCCCAAAGTCTGTATTTACAGCTGAAAATCCCACTGAGATCTACACTTCTTATTACCTACTACCTAATGGTATTCACAGCTACATTCTTTATAGATACTTCCAAACTCACTGCCTGTGATGGCGTAGAGCTATAATCTCAGCATTCTGAAGGCTAAGGCAGAAGAATCCCAAGTCAGAGGCCAACCTGGGTTACACAGGGAAACCCTGTCTCAACAACAACAGCAACAAAGACAGCTCTAAACTTAACACAGTTCAAAGGCCACTCAATAGCTTTCCACCCCAAATCTGCTCTTTTAAATCTTAGATATCATTGTTAATGATACTTATATTTCTTATTCCCTACAAACTGCACTCAGACTTTTAATCATAAAATACAAATCCCAGCCAGGTGTGGTGGTGCATGCCTTTAATCCCAGTACTCGAGAGGCAGAGGTAGGTGGATCTCTGTGAGTTCAAGGCCAGACTGGTCTACATAGTGAGTTCTAGGACAGCTGGGGGCTACAGGGAGACCCTGTCTCAAAAAGATCAGAAAAAAAAAACAACAAAAAACACAAATCCCTCATTTACCAAGCCGGACTTGGGTGGAATAGATTCTTTGCTCTGTCATTGCCTTCTCTATCTGGGGTGAATACACTTCCCAGGGAAAGCCATACAACAGTTATTCTCTTTATTTGAAATTTAAGCTTGATATAAAGAGATATTGGGTATCAAAGGACTTATGATGGTTGGAATTGGTGACTAAATTAAAAGACATCTAGGATTGGTGGAACCCACCTATGGGTCTCTGGGGGCGTTTTCTGAGAGGACTGCCATGTGACAGAGCCTTCCAGTCTTCAGCCTGGAAGAAAACAATCTGAGGAAAACAATGTTCTGAGTTCATTTATCTGTGTTGACATCAGCCTCCAGCTTCTCGGCCCTTTCCATAAGGACACAATATCATTGATTCTCCAGGAAGCATAATGGAACACACCTTTAATCCCAGCACTTTGGAGGCAGAGACAGACAGATTTCTGACTGCCAGGCCAGCCTCGTCTACACAGGGAGTTCCAGACCAGTCAGGGCTACATAATAAGAGTTTGTCTAAAGAAACGAAAAGAAAACTAAACAATAAAAAATAAATGCTTCCATGACCTGGCCCTTAGTGGAAGATAAAAAGTCTTAATAGAAGAGGGAAAGAGAAGAAAAAAATCATTTTCCTTAAGTATAAAGAGATGACTGACTTCTACAACAATAGAAGTCAGACTGCTTCTATTCTCTGGAGTACTCAAGTAGAAGGTACTGTTACCTATGTGACATAAACTATGTGATTTACTCCTTATGTCTCCGAAAGCTGTTTATTATCTTACCCAGGGGCCAAACAATGATACTACATAGCCACTTCCAACTTTTGGTTATCACAGTTCCTAAATTTTACCATTACATTCTACTTTCAATCACTGCCCAACTAAGACCAGGCTCTCAAGATCCACATCTGTCACTAATGGCCTTGCTAAAGTTGGGGGAAAAGGGGACGATTAAAAAGGTAGCAGAGAGACTGATCTGAATGGACCCGGAGAAGGATTTCCTATCACCATCTTTTCTGACATAGTAAATGTAAGTATTTTGTAATAATGCTATCAATATTTCCCATCCCTGATCTATAACTACTCCCCTAAATGCTCCCTAATAATCCATGCATTATACCATTAACAAAATTATTACCTGGCAATAAGCATAGTTTCCAAGAGCCTTGTGAGCTTCATCAACCACGAGACATCGTATATCAGCAGCAGGACAAACTCCTCTAGTCAGGTCGTTTACCATGACCTGGGGTGTAAGGAAGAGGACTCTCTTGCTGCTCCATGTTTCCTTCCTGCTGACAGCTTGAGTAGAACCTGTAAATAATAGTGACAGTTGAGAAGGGTACACTAGGCAAGTCTGTAATCTCAGCACTCCGGAAGATGAGGCAGGAGAACAGCTGTGAGTTCAAGATCAGCCAGCTCTACATAGCAAGTTCCAGGCCAGTCAGGAAGATATACAGTGAGACCCTATCTCAAAATACCAGAAAAAGATACGGGAGAGATGACTCAGCAGTTAAGAGCACTGGGTGCTCTTGCATAGGACGGAGGTTTGATTCCCAGCACCCACATGGTTGGTTACAAACAACCGTCTGTAACTCTAGTTCCAGGGACATCCAACACCTTCTTCTAACTTCTGCTTGCATTGTACAACACAGGTGCACTTATGCACATGCAGGCAACACACTCATAAACATAAAAAAAATAAAAATAATTTTTTTAAATACCAGAAAAAAAAAAAAAAAACAGTCAAGATCCCCAAACTTCAGTCTGGCCTACTTTGGGAACGCATTCATGTTTTGGTAGTCTGCTTAACAGAAGAATAATTTAACAAGTCACTGAAATGTTACATTTAGGAGCTGTGACTGTGGCCCAAACGTCAAAGCAGGCTCTTCTCTAAGAATGCAAATGCACTGTCCTTAGATAATTCCTAGAGTATATCTGGAGAGAGGCAAACTCTTCAACTGGGAAGCCCTTCTTGGAAAGAATGCCAAGAAACATGTTCAGTACACAAACCCCCATTGCTTCAAAACAGGGACAGTTTACAAGTCATCTCTGAATGTTGTCTAAAGGCAAGTCTGTGCAAGAGCCTCGGATTTCTTATCGACAGAGATTTTTGGGAAAAGAACGCAAGATGAGCATATCTGTATTAGGGGATTTTTCCACCTGAACACGTCTCCCCCACCCCCGAAACTACTTCTTCTCAGATACCTGTCATTTCAGCCATGTGCGACTGCGGAATACCCATCACCTGGTAGCAAGCCTCCATCTGCTGTGTCACCAAGGGTTTCGTGGGTGCCATAAAAACCACCTTGCCCGAAGGGAACCAGCGGTAGAAGTTGTACATGACCACAGCGGCGATAAAGGTCTTGCCCAGCCCGGTGGGCAAACACACCAGGGTGTTGCAGAACAGCGCGCTGCGCGAGATGCGCAGCTGGTAGTCGCGCACCGGCCTATTGGTGGGGTAGATCCACAGGGCGCCCGCGGCCGCGCAGAAGCCGCCGTCCTCCACACGCAGCTGCCGCTCTGCCTCGTACACTGCGACCAGCAGCACCTCGTCGTCCGCCTCCGGCCGCGCCTCCGCCGCGGTAGACGAACCCGCCGGGCCGCTCTCGGGGCCCTGAGGCGGCTGCGCTCCCGAGCCGCAGCGCCGAGCGTCGGTGCCGAGGACCAGGCTCGGGCCCCATGTCTGGAAGAGAGTTCTCTGTCGTGCGCTCATGAGGCCGCCCAGCCGCCGCCCCCCGCCTGCACACCGGCGGGCACCGCAGCTCAACCGCAGCGGCTCGCAAGCCCATCGGGCTCCGGCTCGCTGGAACGTGATGGGCGGGACCGCCCTCAGCCGCTAGGGTTGAAGATGCCGCCACCGAGGCTGCGGCGGGAACGTGATTGGCTGCCATCCCGGAAGCCTCCGCAGCCCTCTCGGGCACGCATGCGCAACAGCTACGGAGCCGCTCTGAATTTCGTCTCCTTTTTGCAAGTTTCTTTTAGTTTAAATTTTTTTTTATTATCTTTTCTTTAAATACGGCCTAATCCCTGGCGTGACATCTCAATACTCTGGAGATGGAAGCAGGAAGACAGGCCAGGAGCTCAAGGTCATTCTCAACCTCAAAAAGGGTTTCCAGGCCATCCTGGTGTGTATGAGACCCTGTTTCAAAACAGAAAAGTACACAAATAAAATCTGTTTCTTATTCCGGTTCCAAAGATGAGGCGTCTGGGCGTTGCTGCTAAGGCGAAATCACTTTAATGCTAAGATAAATAATTTTAAGACCCAAGGAGGGGGCCTGGAAGAGATGGCTCAGTGATGGGTCTTCCGGAGGACCTGAGTTCGATTCTCAGCAGCCACGTCAGACAGCTCACAGCCACCTGTACCTCCATCTCGTGGGGATCTGACGTCTCTGGCTTCCGCCGGCACAGCACATGCCCATACACAGACACACATATACACATAATCAAAATTAAATGGAAAAATTTAAACACTCACATAAAATAAAAATACATATACTTTTTAATCCCAGGAAAAGCACAATCATAATTTTGTGACTTTAGCTTTGAATATTTAAAGCTGAAGATACGAAAAGCGAAAGTGGGATGGAATTAAATAATTCACCTTGTTTCTCCATTTAACATAAGAAGAGTGCCACATCTCCTCTGTATTAGGAGTGTACTAATTGTGTAAAGGAAAGTAACTGTAGCCTGGCTCTGTGTTCACTGAAAACTAAAAAAAGTAATGTTCCGCCATTACATCTTTATTTTTGTCTTAGCTTTTTGTTTGTTTTGTCTGGTTTAACATAGGCTCTTGCTCTGAGGCCCAGGGTGGCTTGGACCTCACCATGGAAACCTTAATGTCCTTGAACCAGCCATTGTCCTGTCTCAGCCTGCAGGTGCTACACTGACTCCCGAGTGCATCCACTGTGTCTGCACATTACATAATAATTACGTATTTAGAGGGGCTGGAGAGATGGTTCAGAGGTTAAGAGTAGTGTCTGCTCTTGCAGAGGATCCGCGTTCGATTCCCAGCACTCACAAAGCAGCTACAGGCTAGGAACCATTCTTAACTCCAGTTCCAGGAGAATCCGAAACCCTCTTCTGACCTCCGCAGCATTGCACGACATGGATGCACTCACATACATACAGGCAATACACTTGTACACTTAATATTTTTTTTTAATTACACATTTAGAGCAGTAAGCATTGATGTGCGGTTATTCCGTGTTAGCCAGAGCTTTCCACTTCAGACTCGGGTACAAAACAATGTTCTCTCGGCGTACTGAAGAAAAAAAGTACGAAGTGCCATCAGAAAGTTTTTTAAGTGCAACGTCATTACATTGCTTTATTTGGTTTGATTTGAGTGGTTCTGAAGGACTGAGCCAATTAAGGTGGACCGAGGTACAAGGAGACCAGGAATCTGCGTGTTCTTTTCTTTAACTAGGTTATATAAGCTACACCTTTAGAGGAACGGTAGGCCTTAGGTGATAAATAAAAGGGGGTAACGGCTGGTCAGAAGTCGCCGCAGTAGCGTCAATCTAAGCGTGGAGGGGGTTTGACGTCATCAGTGCTGTCCGCAGCCGAGGCTACCCCACAGACTTTGACTCGGACTCAACGAAGAAGTCCTTAACGTCACTCAAGGCCAAGCTCCAATGCGACTTTGGCACACGGAGGCCCCGCCCTTGAGCGCACGCAGAACCCAGGCCACACCCCGAGAGCGTGGCGGCGTCAGACTGAGGCGGGGGTTCTTTGGAGGCCGGGGCCCCGCCCCTTGAGCCCGCCACAGGGCCGGCCACGCCCTATGGCTGGACAGCGCTTGACCAGCCTGACGACTTCCTGAAGCGAGGCCCCGCCCCCCGAGCGCGCCGCAGCGCCGGCCACGCCCTAGGGCGGAACAGCACTGGGCTGACGGGGCAGGCTCTATGCCTCGAGACCCCGCCCCTCGCGCCTTGCGGAGGGCCCAGGCCACGCCCCAGAGGCGGGGCGGCGCGGGACTGAGGCGGGCTGGTTCAGTGAGGCGGCGGCAGCAGGGGAAAATGGCGTCGGCGGTTCCGCAGCGGTCGTGGACCGTAGAGCAACTACGCAGCGAGCAGCTGCCCAAGAAGGACATTATCAAGTTTCTTCAGGATCACGGTTCAGATTCGGTACCAGAAGCAGCCGGGCGGCCGAGCAGGGGCCGCCGAGGGCCGCCTCTCCCCCCCGGAGTTGCTTTACATCCCGGATTCCTCCGTGCCCCCGCCCTCGCGGCCCTCGGCGGCCAGGCCCGAGCGGCCCGCGCGAGCTCCGAGCAGCTCCCGCCCCTGGGGCCGCCCCTGCTTCCTCGGGATCAGCCCTATTTCCAGGCCGGCGAGCTGCGGTCGCATAGTTAGCTGAATTGGGACCTGCGAGGGGCCGAGGCCCTCAGCTCCTGGGGGCTGAAGCGGGTCGGAGGGATCCGGGGTGGATGAGTCCCGGGAGCAGAGTGCTGGCCACTAGGAAAGGGGCGGGATGCGGAAATGTGGGGAAACGTCACGACTTGCTTTTCTTACCGGTTTACTAAATACTGAGTCGATAATCTTAATTTTCAAAAACCCATACATCACGGTTTAACTTTTTTTTTTACAAAATCTATTCACCTTCATACTTAAGGGAGTTAAATGTGAATCATTTTATACAGTGATTTATTTCTCATTGTTAGAAACATTAAAAATTTTTGTTTTGTAATGTACGCTCGCAGTTGTCAGCATTGACTCCATCTTAACCACCCTTTTGTAGTCACGGGTTACTTTTGTCATACCTGACTTTTGTCCTTCATGAAGATTGTTCATTCCCGCCAGCTCTCCCCTCCCACTTTATGTATTTTTGAGGCAAGGTCTCAGGTAGCCGCAGACTAGCCACTCATCCTCACCTCCCAAATGCTGGGGGTTACAGTCGTCCCCCACCCTGCCCAGCTCCGTACTTTTCATTTGTTGAATAATAGTACACATGTTGCGAATCTTCCACTTAGAAATAGCTGCAGCTGTATTTGGGTTCCTTACGGTTTCTCAATTTTAAAATGTTAAGATACGGAGTGTTCTGTAATTCTAAATTATGAAAATGCTTTTTGGTGACTGTCACTTAAGTGCAAATTTTCGAGTGACCATTTGCATAATTAAGCCTATATTTTACAGTCCTAATTTTACCACGTTTAGAAATTTCTGAGCTCATCTGAAGGGAATAGGTCTTCGTTTAAAGAGGCTCTTGGAGGGGAGATTTCTTAAGAACTCTGTAACCTGGAATTCTTGGACATGCATAATTATATTGGCATCAGCATATACTTCACATATTTATATAACATGTACAGTAAGAACTATACTCCAGGTTTGAATATACAAGGTTGAAAAGACCTCTCAGGATCCTTCACCTTTTTAATGGAATTAATTTCTCTTGAGCCAACCTTTATTTCAACTGAAACAATGGAGCTAAGCAGTTAATGCCTCAGTACCTTAGTCAACATATTAAGTTGTCATTAGATGACTCATCCCAATGTTGACTTTAGTTTTCTTTTAGAGTCTAATGTTAGACTAGCCAGAGTAGGTCAATTTCAAGAGATTTGGAACATCACAATATTCTTGTAACCATGCGTATTCGCCAGTGATCATTCACTTACCTAATAGATGGTTGTGATTTTGTAGATCAGAAGATATCAAAGAGATACTTGTATTTTAGGTATTTTTCTGCAGTCTTTCAAAAAAAAACCCACAGGTGTGCTAAAGCAACATTACTTCTGTGAAACCAATTTTTATCTCTTTTCTCCAGTCTTTATCATTGAAGATATTTAGGTGGAGAGTACACACTTTTAGTCCCAGAGGCAGAGGCAGGTGGATCTCTGAGTTCCAGGCCAGCCTGCCTGGTCTACTTAGTGAGACCTTGTCTCAAGAAAAGAAAAGAAAAGAAAAAAAGAGCAAAGGGGGGAAATAATACAGTAGTGACTAAGTCGTTTAAAAAAAAAAATGTTAGAAGGTGTGGAAAGACAACTTGAGAGAAAACAAAGAAGCCAGCAGTGTCCTAATATAAGAAGCAAACTAAAATAGGAAAGGGCTAGGGAGATGGCTCAGTGTATAAAGTGCTCGCCACACCTGTGAGGGCCTGCAGGTCGTTTATATCTGATTATGTCTGGAATCCCAGTGTTCCTACTGGGAGATGAGAAGTAGATAGGCAATTCCCTGAAGCTCTCAGGCCAGCTAGCTTGTGAACTGGAGAGACTATCTCAATTGGGTAGAAAGCAAGGACTTCCACCAGCGTCCTCTGACTTCTAAGCATACCACACTTTTAGTGTGTCCACACTCAAAAACAGGTGTCACACACATACAAAAGATTTTTGGATGGGAATGAGGGAAGTTTTAATCCTCACTTGATTTTTAAGGTAAACATGAATTTTGTTCTTTTTTGTTATCGTGCTTATTTTGTTTTTTGGTCTTTTTAAGACAGGGTCTCCCTGTAGCCAGAGCTGGCCTGGAACTCACAGAGATCCGCCAACCTCTGCCTCCCCAGTGCTGGGATTAAAGGGATGCACCACACCAGGCAGTTTGTTTCTTGAAACTCACTGTGTAGCCCAAGATGGCCTAAAGCAGACTCTCCATTCTCGCTCAGCCTCCCAGGTGCTTTGTTATTTTATATTTATTTTTTGTATGTGTGGCTTTGTATACCTTGGTACATGTGGAGGTCAGAGGACAACTTGTAGGAGTCAGTTCTGCCATTGTAGGGCCCAGAGATCAAACTTGGGTCATAAAATTTGGCTGCAAGTACCTTTTCCTGCTGAGCCATCTATCTTACTGGCCCAAACCTGAGAAACTTGATTCCTGGTATAGGTAGGGTCAGACAGCTAAGACTTTAGCTCAGATAATATGACTCCACAGCCTATGTACTACTTTTGCCAGAAGACAGGTCATAAATATAGATAGGTCAAGATAGCCATTCCCAGAATGGCTGGAGCATGCCAAGGCATGCCAAGTACTACCAGAAATAGCTGCTTATACTATACTTACTAAACATTCGAGTTCTCAATGTGAAAAAGGTTAGGCTGAATCACTGTCTCCCATATATCCTAAGTTTTAGTCCTATAAATGACCTCATATTTGAAAATCTACTTTAAAAATGGGATACAATGTTTATTTTTTTTCATTTCTATTAAAAACTTTACAGCTAGCATAAAATGATCACTTCTTGGTTTTGAAACAGGGTCTTAGAGTGTCCAGACCGGCCTTGAATTCCTAAGCTCAGGGAATCCTCCTGCTTCAGCTTACAATTCCATGGCACCAGGCTCCATTTTCTTTTATTTATTTATTTTGGGGGGGGGGGGGTTCCCTGTAGCCCCTGGCCTGGAACTCGCTATGTAGACCAGACTGGCCTTGAACTCACAGAGATCTGCCTGCTTCTGCCTCCCAAGTGCTGGAATTTTATCTTTTTAAAAAAATATTTTATTTTATTCGGAGTAGAGAGCTGGTGCAGCCATTAAAGGCTCAGGCTCACAACCAAAAATATTTTTTTATTATTTTATTTTATTTTGTGTGTGCATGCATATAGGTAAGTGTACCCATGTCATACAGTGCCCCTGGAAATCAGAAGAGGGCATGTGATCCCCTGAAACTGGAGTTACAGATAGCTGTTAGCTGCCATGTGGGTGCTGGGAATTAAACCTGAATCTTCTGCAAGAGCAGCCAGTGCTTTTAACCACTGAGCCATCTCTCCAGCCCCATTTTTTGTTTCTTGAGACAGGGCTTCATGTAGTCCAACTTAGCCTTAAACTTATAGTATCACCAGGAATGACCTTGAACTTTGTCTCCACTTCTAAGTGCTGGGATAGGCATGCATAAATCACCATGACCAGTGCTTTGTACATGTTAGCAAGCATTCTACCTACTGAGCTACATTCTCAGTCCTAGATTTCATTATCTAATTTTAGCTTCTTCCTACATAAGGGAAATTATTGTAACTAATCAGCTCTTTTCTTTGTAGTTTCTTGCAGAACATAAATTATTAGGAAATATTAAGAATGTAGCTAAGACAGCTAATAAGGACCATTTGGTTACAGCCTATAATCATCTTTTTGAAAGTAAGGTGAGTATTATATCCTATTAGTGGAACTAATTTGCAGAAATTTTATTTCCAAATAGAAATATTAAATGTACTTTTTGCGGACTAAGTTGGAGATTTCCGACCTGCCATTTTTCTTAACTGTGATCATAATTGGACTAGCTGTCATATCAAGCAAGACTAATTTTCAAGATGGCAGAATGCTTGGAGTATTTTGGATTTTTTTTTTTTTTTGAGACAAGGTCTCCCTGTAGACCAGGCTGGCCTTGTTACCACAGACTGCCCCCTGCCTCTGCCTCCTGAGTGCTGGGATTAAAGCTATGTACCACTGTGCCCAGCTTATATTAACTGTTAAATCAGTATTCTCCCCTTTGTTTTTATGCGATTCCTTTAGATGATTTATTTATGGTTGAATTATATATAAACTGTTTTCATTGTGCACGTGCTCATTTATTTGTTTGCTTGTTTATCAAGACAAGGTTTCCCTGTAGCCCAGCTGGCCTGGATTCACTATGTAGACCAGATCTCAAACTCACAGAAATCTGCCTGCCTTTGCCTCCCAAGCTGCGGGGATTAAAGGCGTGTGCCAACACACAGATGCTCATTTATTGAGGATCAAAATCTAGATGATGATCCTAGATTTTAGCCTGTCCTCAGTATTGATAGTAGTATTAGTATGTTTTTTTTTACAGCGTTTCAAGGGTACTGAAAGTATAAGTAAAGTGTCTGAGCAAGTGAAAAATGTGAAGCTTACTGACGATAAACCCAAAGAAGCCAAGTCTGAAGAGACTGTGGATGAGGTTTGTGTATATTTTCTTCCTTTGCCATTTTTCTTTCCTCTTTACACCGTACCTAGGATTGAACCTAGGGCCCCACAAGTGGTAGGGAAGTGCTCTGCCACTGAACTAATCCAAATGCTTCTTTCACTAAGTCACCCAGACTGATGTAGAATTTGTAATCCTCCTGGTTCCATCACCTGACAAGCTGAAATTAAGGACCCAAGCCACCAGGCCCAGCTAATACTTGCTTTATAGCACTAAACCAAAAATTTGATAAGTATAGCCACTTTTAGGGAGCCAAACGATTTGAAATGTACCAATTCCCTATCTTTGGGATAGAAATAAACGAGAACTTCTAGCTTCTGGTCAGAACTCCTGTGTTCTCTGAGCTATTTTAATATTTTAAGGACCTGATTCTGTAGCCAAATTAGACTGAGTGAAAGAAACTTCCTTCTAAGTTATTTTTAGCACTTTCTAATGTAACTGGTGTCCCTGACCATGGAAATAGTCCAAGCCTGGCTTCAGGGAATTGGGTTCATATATCTCATCTTTCCTAACCCATGTATTAAGTTTGAAGCATCAGAAAAAAAACTTTTGGGGGGTTGTTTTGGAGACAGGGTTTCCTTCTTTAGCCCAAGTCGGCTTCATACTCATGTTCTTCCTGCTTCCTAAGTGCAGGGATTACAGGCATGTACCATCTTGCCCAGTTATAAGTTCATTTATTAATAGCAGTCTTAGTGATAATCATTTGTTTAGTTTTTCTAGATAGGCCTTTTGATGAAGAGGTAGTATGGACAGTATGAGTTAAGGTATAGTGGAGCCAGATAGTTACATAATTAAAGCTAGTTAATTTTGCATGATTTTCTTTTCCTTTTCAAAAGCACAAATTAATGTTGGTGGTTCTTTGCATGCGTAGAACAGTTTTGAAGTTTATCACAAATATGTGATGAATATTTTATCAAGTAAATAAATCTGTTGCCTAGAACTGTAATGTTTAATGCAGTACTCACTGGCTTTGTTAGTTTTCCATCACTGTGACAAAAATACTTAAGAAGAACAACTTATAAGGAGGAAAGGTTTATTTTGACCCACAATTTGGGAAGTTTTAATTCATGTTGATTTTGGCCCTGTGGTGAACATAGAAGCTGAGAGGCAAAAAGAAACTGGAAAGATGCGGAGTCTCACAATTCCTTTCAAGAACAAGTCCCCAGTGCCCTAACTTCCTTCTGCTAGGTCCCACCTCATAAAGATTATACACCTCTCAGTCACCCTGTGGGGCGGGCAAGTCCTCATCGCCTGGGATACATTGAAGAACCAAACCATAGCAGTAGCCATTTGAGACTGCTCAGCTCATTGGCAAGGTTTAGATGAGAATTTCTTTTAACGTAGGGGAACAATCTGAGCCAGGCATAGTGGTGCACACCTTTAGTTCCAGCACTCAGGAGGCAGAGGCAGGCAAATCTGTGTAAGTTTGAGGCTAGCCTCTCTACAATATGAGTTCCAGGCCAGCTGGGGCTACAATGAGACTGTCTCAAAAAGAACAAACAAACAAACAAAAAACCCAAAATGGGAACAATCTAATTTTAGTTGAAAGTGCTAATCCTTAGTAGAATAAAGGTATTTGTACTGTCCATACCATTCTTACTTTATAAAAGAGAGAAAAGAAAATTTAAAAATAGAAAACCATAGCAAAGAAAACTTTAAGACAGAAAACCATGGTATAAGATTACCACAGTGTCTGTTTTTGTTAATTTCCAGCCAAAATCACAAGAGCTTAATGTAGAAATCAGAATGCAGTTTGTTGCTTTCAGTGGGTACTCACGCGAATCAAAGAATTTATTTCTCCCATATGATTATGGACTGGGGTGATGACTCAGTAGATAAAAGCACTTGGTACACAGATGTAAAGATGAAAGTTTGAACTCAATGTAAAGCTGAATGCAGTACTATAATCCCAGCACTCCTGGGAGGAAATAGGAGTCAGAGGCAGGAAAATCCCTTGGAAGCTGGCAGGCCAACTAGCCTAACAGCATAGAGATCCAGTCCTACAACAAGGTGGAAAATGACGACTAACACCCACGGTTGTCCTCTGACCTCTGCACACATTGTAGCATGTGTGTACTTGCATTCACACGTAAGACCTCACACATACACAAAGATATATTTTTTAAGAAGAAATAAAACTAATTTTATGTAATAAGTCAGGTAATTCATTCATGCACTTAATTTCTTTTAAACTCAAATATAGTCTAGACCAAAGCATCCAACCTAGGTAACAGTGGCATTATTGCTGTCTTTTTTTGAGACAAGATCTCCCCAGTAGCCCCAGCTGGCCTGGAACTGTATAGACCAGGCTGGCCTTGAACTCATATAGATCCACCTGCCTCTGCCTCCCAAGTGCTGGAATTAGAGGCATGCGCCACCACACCCAGCAATAGTGACATTATTGATTGGATACATTTTTTGTTAAACTTAAGTGTTTGAGTTCAAGGCAGCGTCTCATTCTCTAGCCCAGTCTGGAACTGTGCAAGCCATACTAGTCTCAAACATGTGATCCTCCTTTTTAGGCATGAGCTACCATGCCCATATTAGGTTTTTTTTGCTTGTTTGGGTTTTTCTTTGTTTTTGTGGTAGAGGGCTAAGGTGCTTAATTTATTGTTTCTTTGTTGTTGGAGGCTGTCCTGGGTGGTTAGGTGTTTAGTAGCATCCCTAGCCCTTTAATTTATAACAACTTAAAATATCTCCAGACAATAGTAAGTTGTTCTTGGGACAGGAAAATTTTGTTTAAGATCTAGCATTAAGAAATTGCAACAAAAGGCTGTTGAGATGGTTCAGCAGCAAAGGCACTTACTGTACAAGCCTGGCAACTTGATTTTGATCCCCAGAATGTACATAAAGGTGGAAGCAGGGAGAGCTGGAGAAATGGCTCAGCAGGCAAGAGCTTGCTACTCTTGCAAGAGGACCTGAGTTCACTTCCCAGCACCTGTGGTGGGTGGCCCACATCTACCTGTAACTTCAGTTCCAGAGGATCTGATGCCCTCTTCTAGCCTCCATGGGCACCCACACAAACATGGCATACATACACATGGCATATAAATACATACACATAAAAATAAATCTTAAAAAGGTGAGAAAGCCAGGTGTGGTGGTGCATACCTTTAATCCCAGCACTAGGGAGGCAGAGGCAGGTGGATCTCTGAGTTCAAGGCCAGCTGGGGCTACAGAAAGACCCTGTCTCAAAAAGACAAAAAAAAAAATAAGGTGCAAGAACCACTTCCACAGAGTTGCCCTCTGTTCTTGGCATGTGTGCTGTAGCACACACGCCACCTGCCCAGTACACACACTAAAATTTAAAATTCTTCTAAATAAAAGAAATTGCAATAAATTATCAGGTCTTGAATTAAAGGCTTACAGGATGTACTGCAGAGATACAAGAATAATAACCAGCTATCCTGAGCTGGCCATGGAAGAAACTGGAGTTTGAAGATGGACAGAATTCCATAGAGATTAGAACCCTGCATGGTTATAAATCTATAAGTAGTAATTACATCACTGTAGCAGTCAAAGGAATGACTGTGTCAAAGATAAATTCATCCATTTTGCTTGGTAAAAAGATTTTGTTCAGAACTAAGTTTCATTGGGTCTTTTACAGGGAGAGTGACAGTAGGAGGTGGAGTAGCAGGGACTTGAACAATTGTGGAAGTGAAAACTTCATAGTAATACAATTATTAGTGCCAAAACAACTCAAGTTATTTTGGGAAATGTCACAGTATTTTAGCAATTTATTAGTAATTTTTCTAACTTTCAGAAATAATTCATTTTATGGCCTGTTGAATAATAAATAGAATCATGCCAAAAGAATTTTGGTTTCCAAAGATACTGTAAGTTATTTGACATTAAATTATAGATGTGTAAGTTAATGTTCACATCACAGTGTTGAATTGAAATAGTTTAATTCATAAACATTGGCAAGAGGTAGTTTGTTACCAAGCTAATATACTCTGATCTGACTTTGATCACTATTAGTTATAATGGTATTCTCTGTCATCTTCTAAGTTTTTTTTAATATTTTATTATTTTTATGTGTATGAGTATATTGCCTGCATGTATGTGAGTGCACCCATATTGTGCAATGCTGTGGAGGTCAGAAGAGGACTTCAGATTCCCCTGGAATTGGAGTTAAGGACAGTTCGTAGCTACCATGTGGGTGCTGGGAATCAAACCCAGGTCCTCTGCAAGAGCAGTCAGTGTTCTTAACTGCTGAGCCATCGCTCCAGCCCATCTTTTTTAGTTTTTAAAATTTATTTTTCAGTGTTTTGCATGAATATAAGTGCACCCATGTCGTGCAGTGCCCATGGAGGCCAGAAGAGGGTGTCAGATCTCCTGGAACTGGAGTTACAGATAGTTGTTAGCCACCATGTGGGTGTGGGGAACTGAACCTGCTCTTTGCAAGAGCAGCTGTCCTCTCCAGCCCCCTGTTATCTTTTGAAAAGGACACAAATAACTATGTTTTTTTATTTTTAGGGTCCACCAAAATACACAAAATCTATTCTAAAAAAAGGAGATAAAACCAACTTTCCCAAAAAGGGAGATGTTGTTCACTGCTGGTATACAGGAACACTACAAGATGGGACCGTTTTTGACACAAATATTCAAACAAGTAAGTTTCAATGTAGTCTTTTTGGCTTAAGATGTTGCAAACTTGTTTTGCAGTAGACAGATAAGCAGTCTGTCTTAGCTATTACCTTTTACCCTGCTGTCTTTTGTACTAAGATTTTTCTTGGAAGAGATCTACTTACCATTCACTGGCTTTTTTGGCGGGGGGCGGGGGTGGCCGCCTAAAAAGATCTCTTTATCATTTGGCAAACAGAAAATGAGGAAGCTTAGCAAAGCTTAGCATGCTTTCATTCATTTGCTCTTCTAATAGAACAGCTGAGGTTAATTTGTTAAAGAGGTTTAGTTTTAGTTTGGCTGTCAGTTTTGCCACTCCAAGAACATAGTAGAGCTCCTGATGATGGTCATGTGCTGGCTGTTCCTGCATCGTGGAAAAGCAAAGGTGGGGCACACATGAAAAGAAGTATTTGTGAAACAATGACTGCAGCAGGGAAGTGCCATCCTTGCTTTATTAATGGTCCATTCTCGATACAATTAATCAGTCTCACAGGACTGAAGGACTCATTTTTGTGAGAAAAGCATTAATACCATTTATTCATCTAATAACGTCTTACAGGTCCCCAACTCAATACTGCTGCATTGGTGGCCAAGCCTTAGTATTAGATTAGGAAAGAAAAATAACATTTAATCCTAGCAGTGTCCCAGAATGTTTTAAGATTTGAATGTAAAACACAAAATAAGCTGGATATTGACAGCACATGCCTGTAATCCCAGCACTCAAGACACAGGCAGAAGGATGACTACAAGTTCCAAGTCTGGCATCAGCTACATGCTGAGTTCCAGGCCAGCCACAGCTACACAGTGAGTCTGCATTGAAACAAAAGACCAAGGCATGCTATTTAGTGCTCCCAGTTATTTTTAATGTGTGTCTTAACTGTCACTACTTGCAGCTAGCCACATGCAGTGTAGATAACTACATGCAATAAAACACAAAACTTAACAAACATGTTTGAATATTACTTAATGTAACTTGATTGTGCTATTCTTTTTTTGGGTGTTTTTGAAGCAGGGTCTCCCTGTAGCCCCAGCTGTCATGGAACTCACTATGTAGACCAGGCTGGCCTTGAACTCAGAGAGATCCACCTGCCTCTGCCTCCCAAGCGCTGGGACTACAGGTGTGTGCCACCATGCCCAGCGATTGCGCTATTCTTGATGACATCCTGTTGTAATATCAAAAGGTTACACATGCCTAATTTTTTATTTCTGAAATTTGGCTTCCTGAATTTTTATCAGATGCATAATGCAGTTTTGAAGGCAATTAAAACTAGTGTATGATTAATTATAAGGAAAAAAATCTATTTTACAGGTTCAAAGAAGAAGAAAAATGCCAAGCCTTTAAGTTTTAAGGTTGGAGTAGGCAAGGTTATCAGAGGAGTAAGTAAAGATGGAAGTATACTGCTGCAAATAATTAGAACTGGGGCTGGGGGTGCGACTTTCTGGTAGATCACTTGCCTAGCATATACAAGGCCCTAGTGAGGTGGAATTTTGAACACATGCATGCATACACCCCCAAAATACAAGAATTAGGATTGGAGATAGAAGGAAAATAATCTTTGAAGTCAGATTTAGTGTTATCATTGCTGGATGATGTGGTACAAGATGTCAGGGCCTCAGCTTCCCCAACTACAAGAAAAGTAAAGCTTAAGGAGAAGTTAGGCTTGAGTTGAGCCAACCATTATAGTGTATTAAAGAAGCTAAAAGCAGGGGCCAGAGAGATGGTTCTTGTAGAAGACCCAGATTCGAATCCCAACACCCACATGGCAGCTAACAACTCTCTTTAACTCCAGTTCCAGGGGATCCAGTGCCCTCTGTTCTCTGTGGGCACTTCACAACACAGGTGCACTTACATACATGCCGGCAATACACACACACATATTTTTAAAAGATAAAGTATAAAAAACAGCCAAAAGCAGGTTGATAGTTTTCTCCAATCGTGTTTTCTTGCTAAGCCTGCCTATTAACCTGTAGTTCCTTAGAACCTCAGTGACATCCAAAATGCCTACCAGTATAGCTACCGAGACACATTGGTCTCTAAATTGTTAAGATACAGCTAAAGACTATCTAGAGCTCAAAACACAATGTAAAATATCTTAACAGTTTAGAAGGTGTAGCTTAGTGTTTATAGAGCATCACTAACATGTACAAGGTTTAATCCTCAACCCCTCAGGAAAACGAAGGTTGAAGAGAGCTTTTATTAACTACATCAAGTTGAGTGATTTTTGTAATTCTGTAACTTAGTTGCATACTGCCTTCTTCTAATCCATATTTATGGTTTTCATATCAAATAATTTTATCCTATTTTATCCCTTATGTGATGGTTGGATTTCAAGAGCATATTACGAATATATTTTTAAAATTTTGCGTGTATGACTGCATTGCCTGCATGTATGTAAGTGTACCTGTGTAGTGCAATGCCCACAGAGGTCAGGAGATGGTGTCTGACCCCCTGGAACTGAATTAGGATGGTTGTTAGCCACTATGTGGGTACTGAGAACTAAACCCATGTCCTGTGCAAGAGCATCCAGTGCTCTTAACCACTGACCTATCTCTCCAGCCCCAAATATACTCTTATATGATGTGGATGTAACTATTTGGCAACCTGCTTTAAAATCCAAGTTAGGGAGGCTGGGCTTGGTGGCACACATCTTTAATCCCAGCACTTGGGAAGCAGAGGCAGGCGATTTCTGTGAGTTCCAGGCCAGCCTGGTCTACATAGTGAGTTCCAGGCCAGCTGGGGTACAGGGAGACCCTGTCTCAATAAAAGACGTACCCCCCGCACCCCGCCCAAAAAAATTCCAAATTAGGAAATTGGGTGTGGTGGCACACACCTGAAATCCCAGCACTTGGGAAGTGAAGGCAAGATTAGGAGTTCAGGTCATGCTCAGTTACACAGCAAGATCCAGGCCAGTTATCAATACATGAAGCATAACACCAACAAAAAATCCAAACTTGAAAAACAAAATTGGAGAGGCAAACCATAAGCTTTTATCCTTTCTTCAAAAGTTAGTTTTACTCTCTATGAAAGAACTTAACACTTTAAAATAGCCAGATGTGCACACCTTTAATCCTAGCACTTGGGAGGCAGAGGCAGGTGGATCTCAGTTCAAGGCCAGCTGGAGCTACAGGGAGATCCTATCTCAAAAAGACCAAAGGGAAAAAAATTGGTAATTGTGAAATTGTTGTAGAGTAACTCATATTCTTGTAAAAATAGACTTGACTACCTGAATTAGATCCCTGGAACCCATATGGTAGGAGAGACCTGACTTCTGAAATTGTCTTCCTACATCCACATGAGTGCCTTCACATATACATACTAAGTAATTATGTGAAAAACAAAAAAGACAGAACCCTTTTTTTTAAAACAAAAAACGCATGCCATGATATAAAATAGTAATCATCTTGTTATGACCCTGTTAACTGATTTCCATACGTAAGGCATGTTGCAGCTTACAAGTGCTTCACATGTATGTCACTTAATAAGTTTGTCACATTGAAAAGCTTATTTATTGAAAATCTCTCCCCCCCCCATTGAGGAAATTGAAGACAAATATTTAGGGACTCATTCAGGGACATTACATTAGAACAAAAATAGAATCGTTTAAAGACTTCTATTTCTGTGTCTCTGTATGCCATGTGTATGCAGTGTTCATGGAGGCCAGAAGTGTGTGTTGGATCCTCTATAGCTGGAATTACAGGTGGTTGTGTGCTGCTGGAAGAGCAAGAACTGCCCTTAACTTCTGAACCACCTGCAGCCCAAACAGAATTCTTTTTAAAAATAGGTTTACTGGGGCTGAAGAGGTGGCTCTGGTTGAGAGCAGTGGCTGCTCTTTCAGAGGACCCACATTTGATTTCTAGCACCAACATGGCAGCCAACAACTGTCTGAAACTTGAGTTCCAGGGGATCTGGTGCCCTCTTCTGACCTCCACAGACATTGCATGTACATAGTGCACTTAAATACATGTAGGAAAAACATACATACAAATTTTTAAAGTTTGCTGCTGAGCATGGTGGCACTTTTTAATTCCAGCACTTAGGCGGTAGATGCAGGTGGATCATTGTGACTTTGAGTCCAGCCTAGTCTACTTAGCAAGTTCCAGGGCCAGCCAGTACAACATAGTGCAATCCTGTCCCAGAAAGAATAAAAAGGGGGGTGGAGGGGAACTGTTCTCTAATTCCATGGTTTTTTGGATTTTTTTTGAAAACTGCTATTTTGCTCTTCCTTTTAGTGGGATGAAGCACTCCTGACTATGAGTAAAGGAGAAAAAGCTCGACTGGAGATCGAACCAGAATGGGCCTATGGAAAGAAAGGACAGGCTGATGCTAAGTATCCTTTTCCCTTCATGATTTAAACACACACATATACTTAAGATCGGGGTCAATAAGTTGGCCCAGCAGTTGAAGGCATTTGCTACCAAAGACCAACAATCTGAGCTCAATTTGCCACCACCCACAAGGTAGAAAGAGACAACTCTCAGGAGTCATCCTCGGACCTCCACTTGCATATGGATTGCATACACAGGCAGACATACAAAGAGTCTTTTTTTAAAAAAAGAAAGATCACTTGAAGGTATGAAAGATGCTGCCTAGGCTAGTTTCCAAATCAAGAATCCTTTGCCATCAAGTGATCCTCTTGAAGCTGGGGCCACAGGAGTGTGACGCTGTGTCTAGCAGTTATTTTCTGTTGGTATAAAGGATTCAGACACTCCCTTTTATTCAAATTCCTTTTTAAAAAATATTTTTATTTATTTATTTATTTTGGTCTTTTGGAGACAGGGTCTCCCTATAACCCCAGCTGTCCTGGAACTCACTATGTAGACCAGGCTAGCCTTGAACTCAGAGATCTACCTGCCTCTGCCTCCTGAGTGCTGGGATTAAAGGTGTGTACCACCACACTCAGCTAATACTATTTTTATGTATATGTGTGTATTGCCTGCATGTAGGTAAGAGCACTGGTGTCAATTGAATGCCCAAGGAGGACAGAAGCAGCTGTAGGATCCCCTGGAACTGGAGTTACAGTTGTTAACTGCCATGTGGGTGCTGGGATTCGAACCCGGGTCTTCTGCAAGAACAGTCAGTGTTCTTAACTGCTGAGTCATCTCTCCAGCCCTTATTCAAATTCTTAACTTTCGAAATCTGTGAAATGTAAGCTTGCATCTTTGAGAGGCAACACCCCCTCCCCCCCAATCACAAGGTCTTCTGTAGGCTTGGCTGATCTTGAATTCCTCATCCCCTAAATTCTGGGTTCACAGGCAAAAATGTTTATTTCAAGAAGGTGCATGTGCTCAGTATAAACAACAAACTACTGGATGTATATACAAGTAAGTAATTTTCTGCTCGAGTATCATTAAACTAAGTATTCAAATCTGAAATTAGAACAGACATTAGAGGTACCACTTGTGAAATGAAGGAGAAGACCACAGGACAAATAGTGTTAGTAAATATTTATTAATGATAAAGACAATACTCTCATAGGTCCAGTTAGTTAACATTTACAAAAAGCAAAAAGGCAATGACCATAGACCATTTAGATTAAATCAATTTAATAGTTAAGTGAAAAGGTAGTTTTAACTTTGATTTCGTTCCAACTGGCCCAGTTAGAGTAATACTGGGAGGGTTTTGGGGGGCAGGGAGGGGGGAGCAATTAGTGAGGTTAAGGCTGGAAGCCCTCTCTGTAGTCTTGGAAATTTAAACTTATTTCAACCGTCTATCCAGACCAGATAGCTAGCTGCAGCTTCCTCTCCCATCTGAAAGCATCTTAAGACCAATCTAGTATACATACATCACATGCTTCTCTGAATGTAATTCACAACAGATATAACAGGCTACCTCATACAGACTTTAATATAGCATACACACTGACAATCCTTAGGTGTTTTCAGTATTTACTTAGTAGGAGTCTTCATGAAATATTGACTAATTTTGTAGGTAGCATTAGTGAGGCATCCAGTTAAGATGAATGCTATTTTGAACTCTGCTTATATACTGATAGGTAAAGATATTTTTAGGAGCCTTTAGGCTAGTGTGTATATATATATATTAGACTCTGAATCAAGTACAAAACATTTCCGCTTAAATTTGTTTCCCGTCTGTATTCTTACAATCTCTGAAGGCTGGCCTGAACTCTGAATCCTGGTTCCACCTCCTCAGTGTTGGGGTTTAGATGTATGCTACATCAGCACTCTTCCTTTTGGAGTGATTCTATGTAGGTATATATAATATACTAGGAGTTTGGGGAGAGGCACTTTTCATCAAATTTACCTTGACTTTACCAACAGAATTCCACCAAATGCAAAACTGATTTTTGAAGTGGAATTAGTAGATATTGATTGAAAAAGCAGTGCTTCAGACTAAAGACATCAGCAACAATAAAAATTTGGCCTTGAAATTTAATGTAACTAATTAAAGCTTGTTACTATAAGGGAAGAGTCAACTGGAAAATTCAAAGAGCTAAAACTTGCTTATTTGATGTTAACTTTTGAGAAATGTAATCCCTTGAGTCCCTTGAAATCTCAGATATTTTACTATTGCTATGTAGAACATTATGGAGAACTAGTTGTTTATCCTTTTACCTCATAAACTGAAAGGCTCAATAAAAATGTCTGAACTGTCTTGATTGGGTTGATTAATTTGGTGTTACTCTATAGATAAGCAGGACTAGAAACTTCATCCAAATAGTATGTAGTTTCTCATAAAATTGGCTAGCTTTGTCTAAATAGTCCTCCATGGCAAAAGGTCAGACAGAATTTGATGTAGAAAGCTAAAAGTACTAAAACAGTACTTTAGCAGTAAGATAGCTTAAATTTAGGGGAAGTTTACTTCAAAATAAAATATTAATGTTAATTTATATTAGGTGAACCCCCCCAATGAATTCATAAACAATTGCTGTATTTCAGTTTTATTACAAAAATGAAGATGATCAGTTTGATCAAAATGAAAGCTTGCTCACAAGTTTTACATGAATATTCTAAATACAAAGTCTCCCAGAACAACATACTTTTGATATATCTTAAAGGGATGCAGGCATTACATTTTCTCATTTATAATGTATTCCAAAGCATAGTATTTTAATAGTACCTCTCTTCTGCAGTTAGATCCAAATTCACAAGTATAACAAACATTCAGACCACCTTATCAGAAAGGTTAAAAATCACTGTTTTCCTTTTAGAGGTGATAAAATCCTTAATAATCAGCCCTTTTTTTTCCCCCAGAATTTTACTGACATGATTTACAGTCAGGTTCCTCCCCCCCCCCCCCCTTAAGGCTACAAAACTCTTGCATGAACTGCAAAAGAATGAGACCACTTAATGCAAAAAAAATAAAAATAGTTTTTCGATAAAAAGTAAATTTTCTAAGTGGTAAGAAATAGTATCTGTGGTATACTAATAATTGACATTTTATACTATTTAACTAAATAAATCATGTTACACAGAAACTAGGAAGACAAATTACCGACTACAGCAAACATATGCTATGTTTACATCCCTTGTTTAAAAAAAAATAATTCCACATTTCTCATATACTCCATTCGAAATTTACATTTTCCCATCAAGTTGGAGGGGGAGGATAATACTGTCCATAATTCCAAGGATTCTGATAATTGTACTGAAAAGGCAAAAGTAAACAAGTTAGTAAACTAGAATTACAGCTAAGTTCCACATACAAAATTAAATACAGGCATGTGTTCATGTTGAAATTCCAGGAGTAAATCACAAAAGGCAACGTACAATATGGAACCGTAACAAAGAATTAGGCTTTTTTCTTTAAAAACACCAAATTTCAGCTAGGTGTGGTAGCACACCTTTAATCCACCACTTGGGAGGCAGAGGCAGGTGGATCTCTAAGAGTGAGACCAGCCTGATCTACATAGTGAGCTCAGCTGTGGCTGCAGGTACCTCAAAACAACAGCCCCCCCCAAAAAAAACCCCACCAAATTTGTGTTTCTAGTGACACTTAACAATAAAGTGTTGTAATTCCATGGACTCACCTGATACCAGGCACTGTAATTATATGCAGCTTGATTCGCCTGTAAATCCCCATCAATTATCTGTGCTGCTGCTGATGTATCTTCTGTATGTATTTTCTTTTCTTCTGGTTCTTCTGATCTAATAAAAAAAGTCAAAACTACCACAGATAAGAGCTTTCTTAGATGATTCACCTGTATCACCTGTGTGTATTTGTTTACTGATCTTCATTTCAGCCCCCTTTGGGAGACAAGGCGCTGTTTGTGTAATAGCCATTAGAAAAAATGTATAGTTAGATAAATTCTGGTAAACAGGCTGAAAGTTAAACCCAACAATTTACCTTTCTTTTATGGAGCAATACTTGAAACTTATCCAGCTAAGAATTATTATTTCTGCCATGGAGTGTTACTGCCTTAATAGAATCCAAAGTCAGCCACCCTAAGGAACAGATTTCAGATTCTTTTCACGAGTCAAGCCCCTTACCAGTTTAGCCTTACTTCCTAGCAACCCAACAACCCTCCAGGTATACTGGGTGACATCTTGCTGAGACATTACATGCTCAGGTCCTTATGCCAGAGGTGGCAAACTGGCCTAGGGTCTGGATACGACCTGTAGGTGTTTCATTTGGCCTTAATGTTCTAAAAAGACATATAAAAATCTGTATTTCTGATATCAAAAATCAAACTGTCTACATGGTGTTTACATTTCTGTAGAACCAGTTGCAGCTAAGCAGTTATGCTGTAGATGGGGCATTTATGCTTTCCCAGACTACTACCAGTTCTCTATACACCAAGGCAACCCCATTTGTCACTGCAACCTGACTGCCTTGAATTTATTATCCTTAATTTGGCTTTCCTTCAAAAAGTTGGCCCCACTGTGAACTAATCACTTTCCAATGGTTGGTCTCATCTCCCGGTTCAATGAAACCCACCTTTTGGACTATTGGGCTGCTAGGTAGCAGGCTGAAGGCCTTCACACTTGCACTTAACCGTTCATTATTATTCAAACAATGAAAATAAAGGTATAAATTATCACAATATAAAGGTAACACTTAAAAAAAGAGGCATTTTAAAGGCAGTTTCATATTGAAATATCTTCCCTTCTGAATTTACCAAGTTACATACCCATTTTCAGCTTTTCTTTTTAAAGTATCCTGTTCTTTTAGGAGTGTTTGATGTTCATCATAAGCATTCAGAAGCCTAAGGTGAATTAAGAAAAAGAACTTTGGAATATACAGAAACCTTTTTTTAAAAAGAACATTTTAACTTATTTCCATGTAAGAAACAGCTTAATAAAATTCCTAAGGAAGCTCTTTGTTTTATCTATTTTCATTTTTTTGTCTTTTTGAGACAGTCTCCCCTTGTAGCCGCAGCTGACCTGGAACTCCCTGTATACGTTGTGCTGGCCTAGATCTCAGAAAGATTCATCGGCCTCTGCCTCTGAGTGCTGGGATTAAAGACACATATCACCACATCTAGCCCCTTTTAAAACTTGACTGTAAAAATCCTTGTCCCAGTGTTCCAACTTTCTATATCTAAATTAAATTTAAGGATCTATATACCTTAAAATCAAAATTATAGCTAATTTAATTTTGTTGGTTCAAATTTGTTCTACGAGTTTGGGGCTGGAGAGATGGTTCAGAAGTTAGGAACACTGGCTGCTCTTAGAAGAGGACCCAGGTTCAATTCCCAGCACCCGCACAGCAGCTAGCAATTGCCTGCAACTCCAGTTCAAACGGATCCAACGCCCTCTTCTGGCCTCTGAGGGCTTTGCATGACACAGGTGTACTTACATAAATGCAGGCAATACACTCATACACATTAAATATTAAACTAAAGGGAACCTACTTCTGTGCAGAAGTAGCTTAGTGGATAGAAAAACTAACCTATCATGTACAAGACCATGGGTTCCATACTTACACTACCTCACATACCACTCCAGACAAGCACACAATACTTTTATTGTACTGTAATTTGTTTCTATCAGTGTCCTCTCAGTTATCAGAATCAAGTCATGGTTAAATGACCTCCTCTAAGAAGCATGACAAATCCATTCTGATTCACAGAGATCACAGCATTCTTAACAAATACATACAACTTCATACACTTACATATTTCTGAAGAATCATAACATCCTAACTAAAAGCTAGCATTACCTGTCAGTTTTTTGTATACCTTCTTCAGTACAAAACAAAGACAGGGTAGTTAAGAGCAGACACTATGAAGTAGGTACTAATCTCAATCATAATGTAACAGCTAAATGACTTGGAAGAAAGTACAGATCTCCAAGTAAGCCTCTATCTAGTGAAAGAACCTGTAGTAAACAAATTGTTATGAATTTTACATTACCTAATCATAAAATATTTAGCACTAAGATACTAGCTACTGTCTTAACTGAAAACAGTCATCAAAACATACAGACTCAAGTAATTTCCAGGTTTTTAAAAGTGGTTTCAATAGAAATCATTCCAAATTATATCAGCAAAGATATATGCCTAATAGGCATTTACTTACTAGAAACACATAACGCTGGAACTTCAATAACACTCTAGTCAGAATTTCTACTTTTCTGTTTATCAAATCTTAAACTTGGGAGTTTTCCCCAAATCTAGAGCAAACCCTTACACCACTCCTCAACTTTCAGCCTTTTATGATGCAGGAAGATAAGGTCACTTGGCATGATCTGTGTGACCTTATCTACCCTCTTCTCTAAGCTCAGATGGTATTCTAGATGAACCCCATCTACTTTTGCATATGTTGAGAACTGAACCCAGCATCACATACATGATAGAGAAGTACTGCCAGTCATCAACTATAGCCACCCTAGCCCATCTATCTATATTCTAAAGGCCTATATTCTAAATGACTATGTGTCTCATGATTCAATCTTCACTTTTCACAAGCCTGTTGCTTCCTTTCTGCTTTCATTCTCTTATGGTATTATCAATCTAAAGGAAAATAGGAGCTGGTAAGATGGCTCAGCAAGTAAAGGAGCCTGATATCTACAGCCTACACGGTAGAAGGAGAGAAGCGACTCCCACAAGTTGTCCTCTAACCCCTACTCATGGCAAGCATACACAAACAAAATGTACTAAATCAAGGAAATCGTTTTGAAGGGAAGACAAAGCGTATGTCCTATTGTTAAACACACATGCAGTTACAAAACTGAATTTAACTTTACATGTATCTGAGGAAAAAGGAACCTAAAACATCTTCAAATTTTGCAATGGGACCAGTGAGATGGTTCGGTAGGTTAAGTACTTGCTGCCGCACAAGTCTAACAACCTGAATTTGACCCCCAAACCCATGTAAGGGTGGAGGACAAACACCACAAAATTGTCACTCATTTTAATAGGTAATGAACCATGTATAGCTTTGTCAGAACAATTATTTTCCGCCTCACGTGCACATTTGCATGCATGCACCTTCTCCCATCACAAAAAAAAAAATTTTTAATTTAGCAATGCATTAATCTATAATCATCAAATCCCCACCCAAAAAACAAAGCTCATTTCCCATTCAAAATGATGCAATTAAGATCTTACTTATTAACATCTGAACCAAAATCTTCAAGAAATTCCACTTTTCTCTGAGAAAATGTAATTCTCATTTTAATAGGTAATGAACCATGTATAGCTTTGTCAAAACAATTGAGAATATTTTCTTCATTTTGTTTGAGGTCACAATTGTATTCCATTTCAAGTAAATTGAGGTATAACTTTGTATTCTCCTGAGTGAAAAAAAAAGCAGTGTTTCTATAATATTTTGATTAAAGCGTAAATATTTAAGATTAAAATCCAATCCATGTTAAATGTTTTCTGCATGTAAATAATGAAGTGAAAAATAGTCTTCAGCAAACATTTTTCCTGTCCTGTAGTGCTAGGATTGAACCCAGGGTCTTAAGCATGGTATGCAAATACTCCACTATGTTACAGTCCAACACTTATTTAGCATACCAATAGGTAGTCTATATTCTCTCTCAAAGTATATAAATTCTACTAACATGCTAACCAGTTAAAACTCAATATTCTATCCTGGTTAACCTGATCTGGCCTACCATGATAATTAGAAAATAAAATACAAAGGAATAATCTGTATACAACCTCTATTTGTAACCATAGGTAAGTATCTTAAACTTCAACTGGAAGTGGATCTTAAAATTCTATCTTCAGCAGACCTGAAAATAACTAAAAACCTATAAAATGAGACATTTCCACTATACTAGCTTTTACAAATTGCTATGTAAAAGGAAATACTTCTCAAAAGGAAAATTGCCACACTGCTTTAATTGCAAACTATTCTCTAAGGCTCTCTATATCCTACTTAATAATCATGAAATCTCTTTAATTTCTAAAGGTTAATTACAAAGTATCATAACTACAATTTTAACTCATTAATCACAATTTTCTCACACTAAGTTCAAAGTAATTGAAAAAAAATTTAAAATGGCAACATCAGTTTAGAGGGACTTTTGTCTTCATTTAGCAATAAAATCTATTACTGTACAGACCAAATCTTTCATCACAGTTGCCAAAATGACAAATTACTACTAGTTTTAAAGGAAGATATTGTTAAAAATGTACATACTTTATCTCTTTCAATTGCTTCCAAAAGCACCTTTCTTGATTTTGGAAGATTTTTTTGTATTTTGAAAAGATGTCGGGCTAGTTTGATAGCATAAAATGATGATTCATTATTTGATCTGGCATTCCTTATAGCATCTTGAAGCAAATGTTCAGCTTCTTCCATATTTCCATGCCGTCGTTCTAAACTTACTCTTCGCAAACGAACCATTGCCAATCCTAGGACACATTCTTCAAATGTTCTCAAGATATTCCTGGCTTCATTAATATTCCCTAGAATTGTAATTAAATGTTTATACTTTTGTTTCAATTTCTGAAATACTCTTTACACCAAGCATTGAAAACATTAGCCTATAAACTAAATCTAGCCCTCTGCCTGTTTATTTTGGGGGCGTAAATAGACGTGCTTAGTTTTTTTTCTTTACAGATGCTCTTTGGTTACAATGGCAAGGCTGATTTGTTAAAGAAAAACCATGACTATTATCAAAATAATTTGCCAAATTCTTTACACGTCCCTCACAACTTAATTTCTATAAGTTTAGTTCTGAAATAAAGTCCTAAAAATATGATTTGAACATTCTCATTCTTACCCTGCTGTTCCTCAAAAGCTGCCCAAAGCATATGCACCATGGGTTTCTTTGGGAGATGAATAGTACAAGCTCTGCTGAAGACATGCCTCACTCCTTCAATGCTATGGTTTTCCATGTACTTGGCATACTACATACAGAAAAGAGGAAATATTGAATAATTTACAGTTGAACAAGCCAGTAAATATGTGACAGAACGATAAAATTCTATTTTTAAACCCATTCAGCACCTTTATTGAACCACTAGACTAGTTTCTGTAAGGAAGGACGAAGAGAGGCAACGAGGTTGGCATATGCAGCAGTCAAATCTGGTTGCAAGCAGACCATCTCCTAATGCAACAGATATAGTTATATGAACAACATTCAACAGAAGTACAAAAAAGGTTAGTCACTAGATCAATGTTTATAATATATTCAAGTTAAAGAGCATAAAATTTTCTTACCTTAATCCAGAACTCCTCATAGAGGGCACATGATATGACACATCTTTCAAAGAGAACCACAACTCTTTCATGAGTCCCATTTTCAATTTCAAATTCTAAGTATTCTTTCCAGTTTTTTAGTTGGGCCTTTTCCAATGGTTTCACATGAAAATAAGGTCTTTTAATCTGTAATAAAATTACAGTATGGCAATGAAAGTAAACCAAAAGTAAAATTTTTTAAGTACACTGATAATTTATTTTAAAGACAAAAATAATGAAATTTAATCATTAGGTAAAATAATGTTTAAAAATTAAACCTTTAATCTCCTTATGTTTTACAACGGAAAAGAATATACTTTGTATTTATTCAATTTTTTAAAGAACAGATTTACTTATTTTTGGAAAACTCAGGTACACATGTATGTGCCTCCATGGGTTTATGTGCACCACTTTTATGCAGGTACCTGTAGAGCTCAGAGAGCCCTGGATCTGGAGTAAGAGGCAGTTGTGAGCTACCTGACAAGGGAACTGGGAACCAAACCCAGATCCCCTGATAGAGCTAGTATGCATGCTTAACCACTGAGATACCTTTTCAATTCATTTTTACAGACTAAAAATATTCTAAAGGAAAATTTATTCTTTATTAAATAGGGTAAAAGAATTGTTCTTTATCTTTTTTTTTTTTTTTTAATGTGTAGGTGTTTAGTCTGCATGTATTTAAGTATACCATATTTGTGCAATGCCTATGGGGGAGAAGAGGGCACCAGATCCCCTGGAACTGGAGTTATAGACTGCTGTTAGCCACCATGTGTGTGCTAGGAAGAGAACCTGAGTCCTCTGCCAAGAGTAGCGAGTATTCTTAACTACTGAGTCATCTCTCCAGCACCTTTTCTTGATTCGTAAGGTGACTATAGCATACATTAATTTGTCAAAACTATTTTACAGTCAGCTACAAGAGACTATTCATAGCATAGGCCATGATAGAGAAATTTATAGAAACAAAAACTAGATTAATCAAACCTTCAGATTGGGCTTAAGTTGAAAATGAGTAAGTGAGGGAAGAACTGAAAAGGAAAAGATTTCTGAGGTGATTTAAAAATGTTCAAAAAGTGAGTATGGTGATTGTATATACTGTGACCTACTGAATTGTATTCTTTAAATTTAATTGATAAAAAATTCACCTAAAATGTTTTCCCTCCCCCTCCATTTCTGAGACAAGATTTCATAGCTCAGGCTGCCCTAGAACTCATTATGTAATTAAAGATAATTCTGAACTTTTTAGGCAGGGGAAGGAGGGCAGAAGAGAGTACTGGGTCCCCTGGAACTAGAGTTATGGATAGTTGTTAGCTGTCACATGGGTGTTGGGAATGAAACCCAGGTCTTCTGCAGAAGCAGTCAGTGCTCTTAACTGCACAGTCATCTCCCCAAACCCAACCACAAACTTTCGATCTTCCTATCTCCATCTTCCAAGTGCTGTGATTATAGGCTTGTACTCCAGTTGGTACAGGTATCAAATCCAGGGACTCATGCATGCTAGATAAGCACTCCACCAACAAACCTTCAAACCCAGCCCTTAAAAACAATGTTTAACTGTCCATAATTGAACAATTATAATGTATTACATTAAACAGCAAGATCCTAAAACTGATCATGGAAAATGTTAAATCTGATACTGGTAATATAAAATGAGCTGCATATTTTGAGTTACTACTTATACAAAGAAAAATTGGCTGGGCGTGGTGGCACATGCCTTTAATCCCAGCACTCGGGAGGCAGAGGCAGGCAGATCTCTGTGAGTTCAAGGCCAGCCTGGTCTACATAGTGAGTTCCAGGACAGCTGGGGCTACAGGGAGACCCTGTCTCAAAAAGACCAAAAAAAAAAAAAAAAAAAAAAAGAAAAAAAAGAAAAATTAACAACAAAGTCACCTCAATCAAAAGAAATATACCTATTTTTATATTTTGAAGACATTATAAAACAAGACACTTACACCTTCTTCAAATGTCCACCTCTTACTAACTTCATGCTCATTATAATTAAACATTTCTTGATGAATTTCAATGATTCTATGTCTCATGTTTTCAATTTCAGTAATTAGCTTGGAAAAAAAGAGAAAACATTAATTCTCTAAGATATACTGAAAATTCTCAACACCACATATTTAAGTATCATCTGACAGATATTTTAGTCTGACACACCAGGGAGTTTTTAACTGTTAGAAATTATGCTTTTAACTACAATTTATAACAGAACTTCAACAAACCACTTATGTATTTTAAAATAGGAATAGTAGATTACAACCTAGGTAAAATATTTCTTCTATTTCCAGATATCACATGGTAAGACTCTCCTTTAAATCTATATTTAAACAGTATGAGCTAAATGGCCAGCTACAGAACATATTACCCTATCACACGTGTCGGCTATCCAGATTCTCATGTACTGAACATTTGAGTAAGGGTTACCTTTGCTGGATCAGTTATGTCTTCAATTCCTGATGGAAGGTCATCACCAGGAGGTCCATCATCACCACTATGTCCATTTACAGAAGCTAATTCCCTTCTCAACTGAATAAACTGTTCACCAGTTAAAAGATCTCTAGGCAAGTTATTCTGTATATGTTCTTTAAATCTAAAGGAAGAATTAAAAATCCATGCTCTATATTTGCAAATTTTTCAATCACATGTCAGATGCTTCCTACATATTACTTCAAATAAACTTATTCAGAGAATACCATTTCTCCTTTTCTATGCTATAACCCTATCATTTGATAAAATATATGCACACACCTCCATTTCTCTTCTGCCTTTGTAGTGGAATGGAGAGAACATGGATAAGCATAAAATTCAAACCCTAGTGCCATCAGTTATTTAACTTAAGCAAAACTTTTCTCCAAATCTTAGTTTAACCTGTGTAATAGAACAATATCTTTCAGTTACAATAAAATCAAATGTGTTAATCTATATTAAAATTTTAAATGATCATTTATAAATGAAAAAGTTTACAGTACCATCCCACCTACCAATTATTCCCCTATCCATTTGTGTGCTTAACAGTCCAATGATACTGGCCTAATTAAGTTCACCAGTTACTTCATACGCAAAGTTAAATGGATATTGTTCTTCAGTACAGCTTCTCTCTCTACCTTCATTATCTGAGCCTGCTAAGCATGTCTTACTTTTAATATCTTCATTGCTTGGTCAGAGGTAACACTTTCTTGGGTTTCCTCCAAGTCTCTGATTGCTCCTCGATCTCTCATAGATCCCCCTGCTACCTGTCCTTAATGCTAGTATTTTCAGGAATTCTATTTTGTTCTCATGTAATTTTATATACTTTGTGGACAGTGGGATTAATATCGAGTTTGAAATAATAGTAATTATTAAGACTTTCAAAACTATAACACAAGTCTAAAACTCTTTCCTAAATTGAATATTAGTATAACCAATTGCCAAGTCTATTCAGAAATATATATAATTTTATATATAAACTAGGTTTTTTTCTTTTTTTTTTTTTTTTGAGACAGGGTCTCCCTGTAGCCCCAGCTGGCCTGGAACTCACTAGGTAGAAAAGACTGGCCTCAAACTCACAGAGATCTGTCTGCCTCTGCCTCCCAAGTGCTGGGATTAAAGACATGTGCCACCACGCCGGCATATAAACTAGTTTTAAACTATTAATATATGAAGATTTTTTTCTTTCTTGTCTTTTGATATGATGACTCACTAACCCATGCTTGCCTAGAATTCACTATGTAGCCCCCAACAGGCCTTCAACTTGGAAATCACTGCTTCAGCCATGTATCACCACATTTTTCTTCTTTCTCTCTCTCTCTCTTTTTTGAGAGAGGGTCTCACTATATAGTCCTGGCGGCCTAGAGGTGCCTGTCTCTGCTTCCTGAGTGTTCTGATTAAATGCATGCACCACACTACACCACACTCAGCCTAAGCTAAGGCAAAAAAAAAAGTTATTTTACTATTTTATCCAAACATACTGTTATAGTCACAGATTTTGAAAATACAAAGATCTAAAATATCTTCCATATTATATATATCACAGAATTTTCCCATACAATATTTATTTACTTATTTATTTAAAGACAGGGTCTGATAAGAGCCCAGGCTGCCTAGAATTCACTATTTAACTGAAGCTGGCTTTGAAATACTCCTGCCTCCAACACAAAGTGCTGAGTTTCTTAACCTTTTCCAACTAGCTTATCATTTACAAAGCCTACTGATTTTACTTTCTAAATATATTTTTATGACCTCCTCACTTAACAAAAGGGTCTTCCAACCTCTTGTCTTGTTACATCCATCCTCTACCCATAAGTCTTTAATTAGAGCAGTCTGTGAGTATGAGGTTAGCCTGATCTACATAGAGAGTTTGAGGCCAGCCAGGGTCACAGAGTGAATCCTTGTCTTAATAAAAGGTAGACATTAAAACAGCAAATCACAAAACAATGCACCAGTAAATTTACTCTGCATTCAGGATAAAATGTTATGCTCTTAGCTGATAGTCATATTTTTCATACAGGCCTATTGTTGTTTCTTGAGATAAAGTCTCCCTATAAATCCCTACATACCTAAAACACAGACCAAGCTGCCCTCAAACTTACAGCAACTGTCTTGTCTCTGCCTCTTGATTGCTGACATTACATTATCAGGCTCAGTGCAGACCTACCTTTTACCCTACATATTAAAAATGGTTATACATGTACCATAGATGCCAGACTTTTTTTTTTTTTTTCTTATCATCTCTCACTAGTTACCTAGGCTGGTCCTGAACTCTTGAGCTCACGTGAAACTCCTGCCTCAGTCTGCTGTATTTAAATCACAGATGCTATCCGAAATCCCCAGTTCAGACTAAAGAGATGGCTCAGTGGTTAAAAGCACTGGCTGCTCTTGCAGTGGACCAAAGTTCAGTTTCCAGCACTCACATGGTAGTTAACAACCATTTGAAACTCCGGTTTCAAGGGATCTGACACCCTCTTCTGGCCTCTGTGAGCAATGGAGGCAAAACACTCATACAGATTAAAAAAAACATTTTTATTAAAATAAATTTAAATAAAAATATTGTTTCTGATTTTCCTGAATTTTGAAAAATGGATTCAAACATCACAAAATATAATCATAGCTAATTTGGAATGTATAATGTTAATAGATAAACTTGATCCATTTGAACACAGAAGAAAAAAGTCAATATAGATTATCCTTTCATAATAAGAGTCTGGTGTGGTGCATGCTTGCAATTCTGACATTTGGGAAGTAGGGGAAGGAGGATCAGTAGTTCAAGGTCATTCTCAGCTACGAAAGACTTCCAGGCTAACTTGGGCTACATAGAACTGTTCAAAAAACCAAAGTTGGAGGCTGGAGAAGACAGCTCAGTAGGTGAAGTGCTTGCTGCACAAATAGGAAGACCTGAGGTTCAGATCCACAGTATGCATATAAAAAAGCTGTGTCTGAAAAAAAAAAAAATGCTGCTGTGTCTGGTATCACATGCTTGTAATCCCACAGCTGGGGAAGCAGAGAAAGAAGATCCTTGTGGCTTACTGGCCAGCCAGTCTGCCAGTCAGTGAACACAAAGTTCAATGTGAGACCCTATTTCAAAAAATAAGGTGAAGAGAGATGGAGTAAAAACACAACTGACCTTCAAACTCACAAGCAACTTACGAAACACAACACTAATAAAATTAAATTTAAAAGGCTAATAAGGGGCTGGAAAGATGGTTCAGCAGTTAAGAACACTGGTTGTTCTTGCAAAAGACCCGGGTTCGAATCCCAGCACCCACATGGAAGCTAACAACTGTCTGTAACTCCAGTTCCAGGGAATCCAACAGCCTCTTCTGTCCTCCGTGGGCACTGCATGACATGGGTGCACTTACCTACATCCAGGCATAACACATAAAATAAAAATAAATTTTTTTAAAAAGTTCAAGCCAGGCGTGGTGGCACATGCCTTTAATCCCAGCACTCGGGAGGCAGAGGCAGGAGGATCTCTGTGAGTTCGAGGCCAGCCTGGTCTCCACAGTGAACCCAGGACAGCTGGGGCTACAGGGAGACCCTGTCTCAAAAAGCCAAAAAAAAGCCTTTCTTTAATCACAGCAGAGACAAGTGGCTCTCTGAGTTCCCAGTCAGCCAGGGCTACATAGTGAGTTCTTTGGAAAATGTAACATGACAAAGAACAAATTTAATATTTACATAAATATTAAAAAACAAGGATATGGAAAACAAACTTCAAACACAATAAAATTTTAAAAATACATTACAGGGGATGGAAAGCTGGATCAGTATTTAAGAGCACTGGCTACTCTTGCAGAGGACCTAGGTTCGGTTCCCAGCATCCACATGGTAGCCAACAACCAGCCATAACTCCAGGTACAGGGATTCCAATACCCTCTTCTGACCTTTGTGGGCACTGCACAACACAGTACACATATACATGCTGGCAATACACTCAATACATATAAAATAAGAATATATAGAGAGAGTACAGTCAGGTACAACGGTACATGCCTGTTATCTCAGTATCGATGAGGCGAGGGCAGAAAGATCAAGAGTTCAAGGTTATCCTGGGCTGTACAGAGCATTCAAAACTAGCTACACAAACCTGTCTTAAAAGAGTACTTCATGGCTACATAATATACAAACTTCATCAAAACTGTGATAAAATATACTTAACGTAGTTTTTCATCAGCTTTGTAAATTGAAAGGCCAATGTTAATTCAATAAAGCATGGCTGAGTACACGTATATATATACACTTATCGTGGATACTCAATTTTTAAATATAAACAAAATAGAATTAAGCCTCAAAAATTTAGACATGTAAGGGAGATGAGACACATCCAAAGCAGTATTATCAGTGCCAATATAAATGTAAACAAGTATAGGTACAGTGGGCACAAATGACAGAATGGATACCTTGATTTAGAACTAGGGGAAGGTGTCTGTCTGGTTGTGAAAATTACAAGTGCACTAAACAAGTAAAAAAGGTACTAGTCATTAAAGAAACAGTACCCTTTGGGAAATTAACAGTTCTCTGGTATACTCTGGTATGTTTGGAGGTTAGGGACTACTAGGGCCTAGATTTGAGATATTGGACCAGATCACAAAATACTCAGGCTTAAGACTTTAAATTGGACATTATCTTAGTATACATTCAACATACATGTGAATATAATTGAATTATTTTATAATAGAAATTAACTTTTAAACTTAGTTTAACCAGGTTAGTCTGAAATTCAAATTTCAGAGACTGTGGGCCACTCAATCAAAAGGTTTAGAATATGTTTTCCCTCTTTTTCTCTGTTGTGTGTTTTGTTTTTGAGGTGGTCTCCCCGTAGCTGTACCTGGCCTCTATACCCCAGGGAGTCCTCAATCTCATGGAGATCCATCTGCCTCTCCCTCTCAAGTGTTGGAATTAAAAGGCGTGTGCCACTACACCTAGCCAACATGTTTTTTTCAAAAAAGTTTTCTTAATATATTAATTTTACATGGTAATGGGCTTCGTTTTATTTTTTTTAATTATTTGTATGTGTGTACACAGGCCACCTCATGTGTTAGGTCAGAGGACAACTTGGGGAGTCAGTTTTCTCCTTCTACCATGTGGAACCTGGGGATGGAACTCAGGCCACAGGCTTAGGGCCAAATGCTTTTTATCCACTGAACTATCTCAGTGGCCCTCATTTTGACATCTCCATACATGTATATAATGTATTTTTATCATATTCATCCCCATTACCTTTTTTTGTCCCCTTCCTCTTCCCAACTAGTTCCCCATGCAGCTTTTATGTCCTTTTATGTGGAATACTTTAAATTATTTATTTTCCATTTTTTTCATGTGTACAAGTGTTTTGACTGCATGTATGTAAGTGCGCCCTTGAGTGCAATGCCTACAGAGGACAGAAGAGGATATCTGATCCCCTGGAACTGGAGTTACACATGCTTGTTAGTTGCCACGTTATGTGCTGGAAATTTTCCTCTGCGAGAGCAGCTAGTGCTCTTAACCAAGGAGCCATCTCTCCTGCCCCTTATCTGGAATATTTTTAAAAACATATGCTTTTCTCTTTACCTCACCAAAGGCCCTGAAATAAGAGCCAAGTGATTGATCATGGTCAAAAACCTTTACAACTGATAACCACCCCTAACTAAGGAGCTACCAACAGCTGATGGAATCTAGGGGATGTAGATTCATTTTCTTTAACGGCGTGGCCCTATAGACCGAGGTGCTGGATGGCTTCCACTGCCCAACTTGACACACCTGTAAGAGAAAACCTCAAGTGGGGCATTTCCTCTACTGAACTGGCCTGTGAGCATATCTTGTGAGGCATTTTTTTGATTCCTGGTTAATGTGGGAGGATCCAGCCCACTGTGAGAGGTGCCACCTGTGGGTAGGTGGTCCTGGATTAGCTAAGCAGCTTGGGCACAAGCCAGAGGATCAAGTCAGTGAGTGGCATCCTCTGTAGTCTATGCGTCCATTTCTGCCTTGGCTTCTCTCAAGGATGAACTGTGATTGGGACATGGAAGTCAAAGTTGGTTTTGATCAGAGTGCTTTATTACAGCAACAGAAAGCAAACTAGAACAACTGACCACACTCCAGTGGATGGGCCCCATACCCATGAGCGTATGGGCAGTATCAATTGGATTCACTGGATTATTAAAAAAAAAAAAGACATGAAGTTGAGAGGGGGTGGAAATGGATCTAGGAGGAACTAACTACAGGGAAGAATGGGAGTGAATATGATCAAAATACATTGTTATAAAATTCTTAAATAAAATGGTATTTAAAAAAAAAAAACCACTTCACATCATAGAAAGCTATTTAGCACATGTTATAAAGTTCCTGTAACCATAGATTTTATACTTTAAACACAAAATACTCAATGAAAAGGGACTGTTTTTGGACTGAAATGCTTTAAATGTAAACATCTTTGTACTTCATTTGTTTGATTTGGATATTTACCAAGCATTTCTATATACTGAGTCTTTTGTTCATTATTTTCTGTGTATGCCTAGCTTATTACATACTAAAAACCTCCCCATGGGGCTCCTACTCTTCTGTAAATAAACCCTTGCCCTATGCTCTGTTAGCAAGACCAATGAACTTCTTAGGATTTTCCAAAAAAGAAAAAAATAATAATTGCAAAAATATTGGGGCTGGAGGTATATCTTAGTGCTTGCCTAGCATGTGCAGGGTTCTGGGTTGGATCTCTGGCACTGCAAAAGTAATCCTAAGTATGTATTAATTACACATTGAAATGACTGTATTTTAGATATGTTAACTGAGATATAATACATTATCCAACTGGATTCACCTACTGAACACATTTTTTAAACATTTTATTATTTTTATTTTATGAGTGTTTTCCTGCATGTATCTAAATGCACCCATGTCATGCAATGCCCAAGGAGGTCAGAAGAAGGCATCAGATCCCCTGGAACTGGAATTACAGATGGTTGTTAGCCACCATGTGAGTGCTGGGAATCAAGCCCAGGTCCTCTGCAAGAGCAGTCAGTGGTCTTAACTGCTGAGCCATCTCTCCAGCCCCTTAATACTTTTTAATGTGGCTGTTAGAAAATATAAAATTATGTGTGCTTTCATTATATTCCTGTTGGCTAGCATTAACAGAAATCATAAGATATATGAGACTCTACAATGCTTTAGTCATTACTAATTTATAATCTAGTATGACAAAGTGTTTAGTCAAACCTTAAAAAACCCTCTGCACTTGCTACATGAGAAAGTAGTGACAGAGATGCACGGCTTGCTTGTCATCATATGCCTGGTGTCTACTGGTTCATGATAAATACAGAATGAGTGAATGAATATACATAGTGCTTTGTATATCCAGGGCCATTCCAACTGTAAGGAGCCTAGTTTAATATGATTTTCTGACTATGTCTTTAATACTCATCAAAGAGTTGAACCAAATTACAGATATCTTGGAAAGAAACAAACAAAACCAAACCTCCCTATTTCAGCGAAAATAGAGCCATCATACACCCATCTACAAAGTTCCTATTTCTTTTCTTCCTAATTCTATTTTTTTCTTTCTTTCTTTTTTTTTGGTCTTTTTTGAGACAGGGTCTCCCTGTAGCCCCAGCTGTCCTGGAACTCACTATGTAGACCAGGCTGACCTTGAACTCACAGAGATCCGCCTGCCTCCAGAGTGCTGGGATTAAAAGCATGTGCCACCAAGCTGGGACCTTCCTTCCTAATTCTTATGAAGTCTACCTAACTTCTATTTTCAGTAGGTTGATTCATAGTAATTTATTAATATATTTCATTAAATCTACCCTTTCTTATTGGAGAGAGTCTCACAACATAGCTTTAGATGGCTTCAAACTCGGGTATCTACCTGTCTCTACCTCCTGAGTGCTGGGGTTAAAAGTGCGTGCCACCATGCATAGCTAAATCTACTTTTTAAAAAATCTTATTTTATGTGTATGCATGTATTACCTACATGTAGTAACTGCACCCATGTCAAGCAATGCTGGGAGAACAGAAGAGGCTGTTCGGTCTCCTGGAATTGGGACTGCCATATGGGCGCTGGGATTCGAACCCGGGTCTTCTGCAAGAACAGCTAGTGTTCTTAACCACTGAGCCATTTCTCCAGCACCAGCTAAATCTACTTTTAAAAAAAATCTAGTGGGGGCTAGAGATGGTTGCACTGTTAAGAGCACTGGCTGCTCTTGCAGAGAACCCAGGTTCAGCTCCTAACACCCACATGACAGCTAACAACTGTCTCTAAGTTCAGTTCCAGGGGGATCTAATTCCCTGTTCTGTCCTCTGTGGGCATTGCATGCATAAAGTGCACTTACATACATGCAGGCAAAACATACATACAACATACACATAAAATAATAAAGAACTTACAGTTATCCCTTTTTTATTTAAAATGTTTGTAAATTTACAAATTACCATTCATGTAACAAATACACAAATAGCTTGTATGGTGGTACATGCCAATAATCTCAGCACTTAGAAGATGGGAACAGGAGTATTAAGAGTTCAAGGCCAGCTCTGACTACATAGTGATCTCAAGGCCAGCAGGCATTACTAGTCACACAAAAATAATTAATTAAAAAAAAAAAAAAAAGCTGGAGTGGTGGCACATACCTTTAGTGGAGACAGAGGCAGGCAGATTTCTGAGTTCAAGGCTACAAAGTTTCAGGTCAGCTAGTGAGACTCTGTCTCAAAAAACAAAGACAGTCTCATATTTGTTCAGATGGTTTGGCTTCTTATCAGTGGGATACCTTATAGTGGAAAATTACACATGGAGCTGAGCACGGTGGCTCATACACACAATCCCAGCACTTCGGAGCAGATAGTTGCAAGCTCAAGGAACACCTGAGCTACAGAGTGAGTTCTAGGCCTGCCAGAGCTATCTAACAAGACCCTATCTCAAAAGAAAACAAAAGAACAAAGAAACTACACATAGAAATCATGGTACAATTTTAACAGTTACTACTATGATATATAACCAGAAATCATGGGGTAAAATTTAAATGTAGTATTTCTTAATTGTGTCAACACAGACAGGAGTTAATATCTAAACTATATTCTTTGCTGTTTTGGACATGCTTGTGAACAAAGAATGTACATTTAGTAAAGTATTAAGTTATAAAAATAAAAAGCTAGACGTGGTGGGGAATGTGTAATCCTAGATACCTGGGAAGGAAGCCAATACTGAAGGACAACAATGCTAGGGCAACACAGGCAACATAACAAGACTATCTCAAAAAAGTAAATATATAAAAAACAAGCACTTACTATCTGCCAGGGGCCATGTTAGTTTAGGATTACAAATAATCATTTGCTAGACTGTTTTTCTCATTTCTTCAGTGCTCTGGAGTATCTCACATATAAAATGTGACAAGGAGAACTATCTATCTAAAAATAGTGAAATTGCTAAACACTACAATACAGGAGAAAATATCAAAATTAAAAGGCATAAACTATAACTATCTACAAAGAAAGTATCATTAATAAATATTGCATAACATTTCAATAGAAATTATAATACTCAACACCAGGAATATCACCTAAATAACCAAAGATACTTCAAAGGAAAAGTCTTTCAACATACCTCTGAAAATGATGACTATACAGCTGGGTTGGAATACCAAGAATACGATCATATATAGCTGTAACTTCTCTCAGATTTCCCTGTTCATTTTCCCAGTTTATATACATTTCCCACAGTTTGTCAGATCGAAAATCTGTTCCTGCAGCTAGAACAGCATGCTCAAAAGTTCTGAAAAATTAAATTGCTTTTAAGTTATATTTCCCAAATAAAAAAACTTTTAAATGTTATTTTGAAATTTAGAAAATAAATGTTGCGATCAAGTTAAATTCGGTTGCTTTGTAGGGATGAAAAAGTGGAAGGAATCACAGAAGAGCTGTTTACAGAAAGACTAAGTGAAAAAACAAAAGGAATAGATGTGTAGTTTATCTTACATATAGGTACAAGGTAAAGTGTATATATTGAAAGAAGAGAAGCATGGTAGACACAAGCAAATGTTACATGAATTATCAGTTGTAAAGATTCATTTAGGGTAGAGAACAAAACTAAAGAATTTATCAACAGGCAAACTCTACCTCAACTTAAGGAATACTCCCTAGCAAAAATGACTCTAACAAGGAATGCAAGCTGTCCTTTAAACTAATGAAAAGGGTACTTTTTTGGGGGGAGGGGGTCTTTTTGAGACAGGGTCTCCCTGTAGCCCCAGCTGTCCTGAAACTCACTATGTAGACCAGGCTGGCCTTGAACTCACAGAGATCCACCTGCCTTTGTCTCCCAAGTGCTGGGATTAAAGGCATGCGCCACCACGCCTGGCAAGGATACATGTATTTTATAACTTTTAAAAGCTTCTTCCAATTCTGACAGTTTAATTATTTTAAAATATTTGGTCCATGTCAAGAGGTATCTGTAAAGAAATTTAATCAATGGAATTTTGTTATTAATTAAACAGTAATATGGGACTGGAGAGATGGCTCAGCCAGTAAAATGCTTGCCATATAAGCAAGAGGACTTGAGTTCAGATCCTCAGATCTCATGTAAATGCAGGGTGGGAGTGGTGCCCCACCCATAATTCCAACACTAGAAAGGCAGGGACAGAGGATACTCTGAACAAGGTGGCTAGCAATTTAATTAACTGGTGAGCTCTGGGTTCAATTGAGAGACCCTGTTGCAATTAATAAAGCAGGCAGTCTTGTGCATGCTGTCACCATTCTGTAAGTTCATGTGAGCAAGGTCCCAGGAGCCTGTAAGACTGTTTCCTTATGGTCATGCACCTCCTCTCCTGGCTCTTACAATCTTTCTGCTCCCTCTTCCATCCCTGAACCCTGGGTGGGTTAGGTTTAATACAGGAGTCCTGTCCAGGGACCCACACTCTGAAATCTCTTATTCTCTACACTACACTTAGGCCAGTTCTGGTCTTTTGGGTTCAGTGCCCTCCATCGCATGAGGAAGCTTCACTGATGAGAGTTGAGATGCCCAAGACCTATGCCACTGGGGATATGGACAGGAGGTCACAACTTCAGAGAGGAACTACTGGTAGCTGATCACTGCTGAGTGAGGGAGTTAATCTTCTTTAACAGGTTGAACAGGATTCAGTGAATGAACTCACACTGAGGGACATCTGGGAACACAAACCTGACTTAATAGGCCTTAACATATATGACAAAAAGGATGAAGTCCTGTGGGCAGAACATGGGAGGGGTGCAGGTAAGGAAAGGGACGCTAAATATGATTAAGATGAGTTGTATGAAATCCAAAAGAAATTCGATAAAAATATTTAAAAAAATAAAAAAATATGTGGTTGGAAAGATGACTCAGCAGCTGGCAGCAATGGCTGCTCTTGCAGAGGACGGAGGTTCAATTCCCAGCACCCACATGGCAGCTAACAATCATCTGTAACTCTAGTTCCAGGGGATCTGATGCTCTCTTCTGATCTCTTCAGGCATTGCATGACACACGTGCACCTACATACAATGCAGGCAATACACTCATACACATAAAATAAAAATAAATAAAAATCAAAATAGAGTGATTGAGGAAGACACCTGAAAAGTCAACCTCTAGCCTCCACATGCATGTACATACATATGAACTCACATCTACACACACATGTATGCACAAAACACATAAACTCTTGTACATACCACAGAAGCAAAAAAAAAAAAAAAAAAAGGGTGGGTACATAGTTTCAAAATAAGTGTTTTAAAACCAGCTAGGGGCCAGATGACCTAGTAGGTAAAGGTTACTTGCCACCAAGCCTGATGACCTAAGTTCAATCCCCAGGACTCACATGGTGGAAAGAGAAAACTAACCCCTGCAAGATACCCTTTGACCTCCACATATGGACAGTGGCACACACACAGAGAAATAAAAAATATATCAATAAAAAAATTATCAACTTGAGCCAGGCATGGTGGTGCATGCCTTTAATCCCAGCAGTCAGGAGGCAGAAGCAGGCGGATCTCTGTGACTTCAAGGCCAGCCTGGTCTACATAGTGAGTTCCGGGACAGCTGGGGCTACAGGGAAACCCTTTCTCAAAAAGACCGGAAAAAAAAAAAAAAAAAAAAAAATCAACTACATTCGTTTACCCAGAATAGAGCACACTCCTTACAATTTTAACACAATGCAAATAAAAGCTTTAATGAATTCTAAGTGTAAAAGAAAATTAAAATTCTAATTTTTGTCTTAAAGATGCAATTGTTAGGCCGGGCATAGTGGCACACGCCTTTAGTCCCAGCACTCGGGAGGCTGAGGCAGGCTGTGAGTTCAAGGCCAGTCTGGTCTCCATAATGAGTTCCTGGTCAGCTGGGGCTACAGTAGAGGGAGACTCTGTCTCAAAAAGACCAAAAAAGAAAGCACACAAACAAATGTTTGTGTTTAGCCAGGTGTGGTGGTGCACGCCTTCAATCCTAGCACTGAGGAGGCGGAGGCAGAGGCAGGTGGATCTCTGTGAGGTGGAGGTCAGCCTGGTCTACATAGTGAGTTCCAGGGCTACAGAGAGAAAAAGAACCAAAAAAAGGGAAATGTTTTTATAAACGAATAATGTATAATGTAGCAAGCATTTTCCTGACAATACCATAAGAAACTTGGACATTATAGTCATCATAAATGAAAAATGAACAGATCAGTACCCAAGAAAACAAAATAGACAAATGTGTGAGAATTTAGTGAACAATACAAGAGGGATTTTAAATCAATAGAAAGGTTGGATTGTATAAAAAATGGGGGAACACACAAATGTGTACCTCACAACAGCCAGATGAATGACAAAAATTATTAAAAACTGAAAACACAGAATTGAACTGAACTCAAGTCTTCTACAAGAGCAGTAAGTGCTCTTAGCCAGAGTCATCTTTCTAGTCCCTTCCATTTTTAAAAGATTTATTTTTTTGAGTGTCTGGAGAGATGGCCCATCAATTCAGACCACAGGATGCTTTTGTAGAGGATCTGGGTTCAGTTCCCAGTACCCACTGGGTGGCTAACAACCATCTGTAACACTCCAGTTCACCAGAATCTGATGCCTTCTTCTGTCCTCCATGGGCACTGTACAACATACACGAAGAAAAAAATACAAAACGCTCATACACATCATAAAACAGGTTTTTTAAAAGATTTATTTTTGAGCTGAGAGTGGTAGCACATGCCTGTAATTCCAGCTCCTGGGAGGCAGTGGCAGGAGTATGTCTGTGAGTTTGAGGCCAGCCTGGTCTACACAGTGAGTAACAGGGCCAGCCAGGGCTGAACAGTGAGATTTTTATCTTAAAAAAGAGGGGCTAGAGCCATGGCTCAGCAGTTAAGATTAATGGCTGCTTTTGCAGAGGACCCAGTTCAGTTCCCAGCACATACATGGCAGTTAAAAACTGTCCCTAACTCCAGTTCAAGGGGATCCAACACCCTTTTCTGACCTCCATGGGCATTGCACAACACAGGTGCACGTGGTGACTCACGCCTTTAATCCCAGCACTCTGGAGGCAGAGGCAGGCCGATCTCTGTGAGTTCAAGGCCAGCCTGGTTTACACAGTGAGTTCCAGGACAGGGGCTACAGGGAGACCCTATCTCAAAAAGACAAAAAAATTTAAAAAAAGTGAATACTTGAATAAAAGTTTTGTTGTTTTTTTTGTTATTGCTGTTTTTTATTGAGCTTTTAAAATTTTATACATTTCCCACTCAAAACCATACCCCTCCTCCCCCATGCACTCTGTCATACATGCTGAGTCCTATTCATTCTGGTGTTTGTACCCGAATGTCCTTCAGGGTAAATGCATCCACTGGAGTCCAGTCAGCCCATCCAGTGGTCGTATGTAAGTCATACTCTCCCTCACCCAGCAGCAGTCAGTCTCAAATAGTTCTCGATCTAGTGCTGGCCCACCACCTATTTCTTACCTCCCCTGTGGGCCCCTGTTTAATTGAGCTGACATGGGTTGTTTTTGTTGAGACAGGGTCTCCCTATAGCCACAAATGGCCTGGAACTTTCTATGTAGACCAGGCTGACCTCAATCTCACAGAAAGCCACCTGCCTCTGCCCCCTGAGTGCTGGAATTAAAGGTGTGAGCCACCATGCCCTGCCTTGGAATAAATATGTTTAATAAATACATAAGGACCAATTTTAAAATGTCAAGAGTGTGAATGTGCATGCATACCCATGTTTGTATTTCCAAAGTAAGATAAATGTTACTGCCATTGCAGAATCTCAAAGTGAATCAGGAAATTAATGTACCAGACACTGAGAGGTGGAGAAAGTGAAGAAAGGAGAATAATAACAAAGACAGAATGCTTAGATGAAGGTCTGCTTTATGAATGATGGGGAATCTTTAACTACCTTTCCTGGCCAGCTGTGGAGTTTCAGAACGTAGAACTGATTACATTCACCAGGCAGAACAGCTCACCAGGCAGATCAGGTGCTCTTCCTCTTTAGAAACTGATATAAACCTAAGACCAACACTGGGATTTCTCCAACAAAACCTGAGTGGCTTTAAAATTATCTTTCACCTTAAATATTCTCTATGAAAAAGGATTGGCTACACACCTCTAAAAGTTGGGCATAATCAACTCCATAAACAAGGCTTGGTAAAGACATCTCCAAGAACCATGGTGATGAGGAAATCCCAAGACAATTGTATGGCAGAAGTAGAAAAGAGCACCTAGTCCAGACTACAGGCAAGGGTATCAGAGGGACAGCTTGGGGGCAGGGAAGACTTACAGATTATCAGACAGGCATGTTGGGAAAATTCTATCAAAATCCCTTTATTAGACAAATGAGAAAAATGGTTGAGAAATCATTAACTGCAGGGAAAATATAAGAGTTTTTATTAAAGATAAAGGTGATGAAAATGTACAGATTCAGAATAACTGAATGGATTTATTGAAAGCTATTCTACACAATAATGGAAAGGTAAGAAAAGAAATGGGAAGACAGGGTATATGCATGTATTCTTTTAGAAAACAAAACACAAAAATACATTAATCCCCTTTAGAAAAACAGCCCAGAGCCAGGTGTGGTGGCACATACCTTTAGTTTCAGCACTTGGGAGGCAGAGGCAAGCAGATCTCTGTGAGATGGAGGCCAGCCTGGTCTACATAGTGAGTTCCAGGTCAGCTGGGACTGCAGGAAGACCCTGTCACAAAAAGACAATATTTAAAAAAAAAAAAACAAAAACGTCAAATTAAAAAATGAGCAAAATGATGAAAAAATGAATAAGCAACTAAGAAATAACACAAGGATAGTATGTATGGCTCAGTGAGAGTACTCAGCCACAGACTCAATTCTAAGCACCAAAAAAAAAAAAAAAAACATATAAGAAAATGCAACCATGTGTGATGGCACATGCCTTTGATCCCAGCAGAGGTAGGCAAACCTTTGTGAGATGGAGGCCAGCCTGGTCTACATATTGAGTTCCAGGCCAGCTGGGGCTACAGGGAAACCCTGTCTCAAAAAGACAACATTAAAAAAAAAAGCAAACCAGGACTAGCAATTTTGATACACATATACTGAACAAAAAATTTTATTCCCAGGAGTGTTTGCTTGTACATATGTATGTGTATCACATGTGCCCGGTACACAAAGAGGCCAGAAGAGGGCATCAGGATTCCCTGAAACTGGAGTTACAGACAGTTCTGAATTGCCATGTGGGTGCCAGGGAACCAAACTCAGGTCTTTTCTGCAAGGGCAGCAAGTATTCTTAACCAATTAGCCACCTCTCCAGCCCCAACATTCGACAGAAGAAAAACAAAACAAAAAATGGGGTAAGGCTATGGAATGAATCATCATTTATGGATTTAAAATTGACACAATTTCTGAGGAACACTTGATAGAATTTGTCTTTATAGACTCTATGACCCTTACTGCATCATTAATTATTGCGTACAATTAGAGAGTTTGGTCAAATAAAACATAGCACTTTAACACTGTATTTTTGCTGTTGTTAAAAACAGGGTAGGAAGCTGGGCATGGTGGTGGATAAGTTTAATCCCAGCACTGGGGAGGCAGAGGCAAGTGGATCTCTGTGAGTTCGAGGCCAGCCTGGTCTACATAGGGAGCTCCAGGCCAGCTGGAGCTATAGGGAGACCCTGTCTCAAAAAGACCAAAAAATAAAAATAAATTCGAAAACATTTTCTTAAATAAAAACAAGTCAAAGATTATGTAAAATTCATATTCAAGTATGTACAATGCATATACCTCAAAGCACACACATTAAGACCACAAGTGAGTAGAATGTAACTGGAGACATAAATAAAGGTTTAGACAAGAGGAAGACTTATTTGTTTTTAACAATTAAGCATAAGCTTATGCATGATTTTTTTAAATGTTAAACTTCCAGCTTAGCATTCATGAATAGTTTTCTGCTGAGCATGTAAATACTTATCTAGGTCTTCAAATACATCTGAGTATCAAATATTTAACATACCCTCTTACTGTACTGTTTGTCTCAGGATCATCAAGGTCCAATGTTTCTTTTAAGAAGTTGATATAATGTATCCAAAGGTCAACGCTAAGAGGTATTGCCTGAAGCCCCCGACGATAAACCTAAGAAGAAAACAATAAACTGTACCTCAAATATTTAATTATTTCTTAAAAGAGAGGCAACACTGTGTTATCCGGTGAACCTTAGAAATACTAATTACTGGAATTTTGTTTAAATACTCTACCATTACCATTTGGGTGGAGGTTGGATAGAACATGGCAATGTTCTGATCCCCACGTGCAGAGTCTTGATCTTCAAAGCGCAGCAGTCCCTGCATTCTGACCGGGTTGTGTGGGCAGGCTTTGGGTTACAGACCATAGGGCACAGACCCATTAGAGCATCAATGACAGCGTCTGACCAAAAATGCAATAAGACGTAGCAAATGTGACTAGCAAACCAACTATATTATTCGGAAAATGAGAAATAAATGTAAGTGAGAGAAAAGCCCTGCCCTACTTGTTAAGCTGCAGTGTAATACAGAGGCTTGCACTGCAAAGCTTGACAAACTGTAGAGGTTTAACGCACCTGCCAACAAAGAGAGAAAATATTAGCTACAAATGCCACAAGAGTGACAAGTGCAAATAAAATACCCTGTAAAAATTGTTTGACCATAAATGGTAGGTACTGCCAGCCAAAAAAAAAAGAGGTCTGTTTTGTCATTAATTGGCTTACAGTACCTAACAGAGATAACTTTATTCAGTGATGTACGCACCTCATCTGATTGTTTAATGTTGTCATGTCGCTTTTCAAGGTCTGCATATTTTTTCCAGTAACCGTAGCAATACGGGTAGTGTATGAAAAACTTGTCAAATGCTTTCCTGGCAGCCATCAAGTGATTCTGACAAAAATAGAACAGAATGTTTAAACATCTTTGAAGTTTTTGTCAAAAAACAAAAGTTCTGTCAAAATAATATGTTAACTAATTTTTCCCAGAGCTGGAGATCAAACCCAGGCTCTCACATGTGCCAGGCAAATGCTCCCTATCAGTTAGCTGCACTTCCACCGCCCCCTCAAACTGTTTACTTTGCTAATCTAACACACTTATACACAAACTGCAATTATTATCCAACATTCAACTTTGAGTCTAGTGACTAGCCACAATATATAAATGCTATGTTATTTTTCCAAGCTTCTAATACTACTAAACTTAATCTGAAATGTATTTAAAAGATCAACTTTAATTATATGGTTTAAACTAACACTACTGTCCCTCTGCCACCATTTAAATAGTTACTAACCTCCTGTTCTACGTACTGAAGCAAATATACCCAGCCTGTAAAATCCTGAGGATTATTTTCTACAGTTTTCCAAAACTTTTCAAATTCTGGAGGGAAATTTGCTTCTGTTTCTGTCACTGCCACTGGAAGATCCACAGTGTTTGCAATTTCATTTTCTTCTGTAGATGCATCCACACAAGGAGAGCCATCAGGTGACTGTTCCATTTCCGTAACATTCATAATCTCAGTACTGAAATCAGCAGATTGCTCTACCACTACCTCTGAACTGTTGCCTGTGCTGCCATTATCAGAATTCCTGTACTCATCCATGTGAGAATTTTGCATAGCTACTTATATTGATCTTCAATTAGTGATCTGTAGAAACACACAAAAAAAGAGAAATGTCTTTCAAATGCTAGTAAAATGATGTCATGAACCAACACCTTTTAAAAGCCCCATCTGCCTACTAAAAAAATAGACAAATTAACACATTTTTTTTTTATTTGTCTACAAATAACAGAAATCCTATAAAAAGGAATCCTCCTGCCTCTGTGCCCCAAGTAACTGGGATTACAGCATGTGTCACATGGTAATTCAGATGTGCTCAACTTTTTGACATTGTTATCATCTACAAAATTAATGCTGGAAAAAAAAAAATCACACAGCTGAATTATCTTTAAAAAAAAAAATCACATTTTAGGTTAAGTCTACTATTCTGTGTTGGACTGAATTCATAGCTATCCTTGAGCCCCACGCAGTCCCTGGGATCATGGATTAGAAACATCTAGAATAAATTTACTTTTATTTGGCTACAGACTATGAAGCTAACATTAGCAGCTTCATAATGTCAGGATGGCACTAAATTTTCTTGGTCTATCCCTATCAATTTATTCATAGACCTAATTTACAATATGTTCAAATTCAGGCTGGACAGATGGCTCATGGTTAAGAGCACTGGCTGCTCTTGCAGGGCCCAGGTTCAATCCCAGCACTTACACGGTGACTAACAACCTTCCAAAATTCTAGTTACAGGGGATCTGATGCCCTCTTTTGACCTCCACAGGCATTGCATGACACGGGTCATTGCATGACACGGGTGCAATTACATACATGCAGGCAATACACTCATACATATAAAATAAAAATAATAAAATATTAAGAGATATGTTCAATTTCAAGGCAGGAATAAAATGAATGGTATAAGTTCACTACTTAACACTGTCCCTTTCAAATCAGAAAAGCAAAACATTTTCTAGAGCTCTACGGCATTTATAGTCTCCGTAGTAAGAGGGATCCTGAGCAGGTTAATTGTAAATATCCACCAGATACCACTTAACTTTTCCAGAGATATTCACCATATTTCCAAATCTCTATCTTTTCTTTGATCCAGAAGTTGTACTGTTCAGCATTTAGCCATAGATAAGTTTTCTGTAAGACTTTTAAAAAAATGTGTGTGTATACATACATACATAACATACATACATATGCCTGAGTGTGTATGTGTGAGTGCCCGTGTGTATGTATGTGCACCATGTGCGTGAAAGTGCCCACAGAAACCAGAAGTGGGCACCAGATACTCTGGAACTTGAATTTGTCAGTTGTGGGCCCCCCGTAGGTGCTAGAAAGCAAACTCAAGTCTTCTGCAAGACGGCAAGCACTCTTAACTGCTGAGTCATCTCCACAGCCTGTATGGTTAAGTTTTTATTCCTCTGAATTATTTAGAGAAAATGGTAGAAGTACAATTTAATTAGATCTGTCCCAGACTTCAGAGTACTGGAGTGTGAGCCAAGGAATCTGTTTTAGACATCTACTAGTTGACTTCTGTGGGGCAATAAATTATGTCTCTACAAACTATAGCAAAGCTCACATTTTAAGAAAGTTGTCACAGGCTGAAAAAAAAAGTAGCCAGGTAATCCCTAACTAGTTTTTCTCTAAAATAAGAAAAGTCACCTTATTTCTCCCCAATTCAATTAAGTAATTGCAAATAAGCGAAAAGAATTTGGCACTCATTCCAGTTTTGATGGGCAAACAATTGTTAATATCAACCAACACTTAAAGATTTATTTTTATTTATGTGTATATGTATATGTTTCTGTATGGGTTTGTGCACACCCATTCAGTGTTAAGTGCAAGTGCCTGTGGAGTATAGAAGAAGGTAATTGATCCCCTGAAGCTCAAGTTACAGGTAGCTGTGAGCTGCTTCGGAAACTGAACCCTCATTCTCTGAAAGAGGAGTATGCACTTGTAACAGCTGAGCCATATCTCCCATCTTGTGACCAAAACCTTTACTGTACTTCATTTTACCTGGAGTGAGCTCTGATAGATCTGTACAGTGTGTGTATGTTGTATCACCAACACAGATTATTAGAATATCAGAAAAACAAGTTCCCTTTGTTTGGATGACTGATTAATATCACCAACTTTTCTAACTTTGTCACTTCAGGCCTTAGGAAAATAGAAATTTCTCAGTTTATTTTACTGTCTTCATCCCATCCTGCCCTGTGTCTTAAAAGAGACATATGTGATGATTAATTTTCTATATGCAAATTGGTCACAAGTTTGTGGGTTTTAATTTCAGCTTTAGAAAAATTACTGTTGGTTGAATCAATCTGAGTCATTTACCACCTACTCAATCTTAATTGCATATTTAAGTGGATTATAAGTTTCTTCGAGAATCAGCAAATTTACCACACCCATGTATCTTCAGACTGTCAATTACGTCACAGACTGCAATTAGTGTTGTAAAAGGAATCAAGAAATTAGCCTTATTCTTAAGAGACATATTTTAATGATTACTTCACAAAACAGAGTGAAAAGAATACTCTATAAAGTCATTTTTAATAAGCTGTTCTGACATTCTTTCTAATATGCCAATTATTAGTATCAGTTTATTCTCAACCACCAATAACTTTCAACTAAAACAAAACAGCACGAAATACCAAACTTTGTAAAGGAAGGAAACAAGACTATGGTATTGACATTATTAGGACAGATAAACCAGTAAGTTCAGTATCCAGCACCCATGTTGCAACTCACAACAGTCTATAACTCTACTTCCAAGATAAGCGAGAATCTCTTCTGGCCTCTGAGGGTACTAAGCAGGCACATGGCGCACATACATACATACATACATACACATACAACGAATATAAGTAAATCCTTAAAACTTTTTAAAAAATGGACAAGAGACTACTTTTAAATTATTACATTTATATACTGTATTTGGGGGAGGAGGGCATTTGTGTGCCATGGGGCATGCGTGGAGGTCAGAAGACAACTTTCAAAGTTGGCTCTCTCTTTCCACCACTTGGGACCCAGGAATCAAACTCAGATCATGCTTGATGGCAAGTGCCTTTACCCACTGAGCCATCCCACAGGTCCTGAACAGAAGATTTAAAGATAATGTTTCCAAAGATTATATATAAAATATAAACAAGGCCAGGCGTGGTGGCACACACCTTTGATCCAAGCACTTGGTAGGCAGGGGCAGGTGGATCTTTGTGAGTTCAAGGCCAGCCTGAACTACATAGTGAGTTCCAGGTTAGCTAGGGCTACAAAGAGACTCTGTCTCAAAAAGACAAATAAGCCGGGCGTGGTGGTGCACGCCTTTAGTCCCAGCACTCCAGAGGCAGAGGCAGGTGATCTCTGTCAGTTCAAGGCCAGCCTGGTCTACATAGTGAGTTCCAGGACAGCTGGAGCTACAGGGAGACCCTGTCTCAAAAAAAACCAAAAAAAAAAAAAAAAAAATTCATGATACACTTAATTTTTTGGAGTATAAATTCAACGTCATGGCTAATCTTGTCAACCTGACTGGGATTTGAAATCAACTAAAATGCAAGCAGCTAGGTATTCCTGTGTAAGATTTTTTCTTGACTAGATTTATATGAAGCAAAGATCTACCTAAATCTGGACAGCACCTTCTGGTGGCAGCTCAGATGAAAAGATATGAAAGAAGGAATCTTTTGTTTTTGCCTGCTTGTCTTCACACTCTTGGTGAGTCTATACTGTTGCTGTGGCATTCCTTCACTAGTACTAGAACCAACTTCTTTGGGTTTCCAATGTAACTGAAACCAGCAGCTTTTCAGGAATCCTCCAGGCTTTCAGTTCCAGTCTTGTGGACTAAGCAACTACTGGATTCTTGGCCTCTCCAGTGTGTGAGAGCATGTATGCTAATCAAATAAATCCCTATTTTATACACACACGCACCCACACACACCCCACAACACCATATTCATCCTCTCCGTTCTGTTCTTTTAGAGAACCCTAATACAAATAGGGAGGAGAAAGCTACTGAATTTGATTTGAAAAAACAGGTACTGATTACAGTTTCACTGGAGATATCTTTTTACTAAACATACACTTTTTCCCCTCTCATCCATTTGACGTTAAATCCTTATTAAAGTTTTTATGTAGTATGCTGTGTAAACGTTTTTTTCAGGCTAAGCTAACTTGTATACTATAATTTAGTTTTCTTCTACCTCTTTTTAAAAAGATTTTGTTATATTTTTGTGTATGAGCACTTTGCCTACATGCATACAAGTGTACATTGTGCATGCAGTGCCTGGAGGCCAAAGTGGGCACTGGATCCCCTAGAACTGAAATAACAGATGGTTGTTAGCTGCCACATGTGTGTTGGGAACCAAACCTGCATCCTCTGCAAGATCAGCTGCCGAGCCAACTCTCCAGACCCTTTTTTACGCCTCTAAATCTTTCCTCATTATTTTCACATTTGTTCCTCTTTTCAAAACTGAAACACTTCCCTCTAAGAAATCTTATATAAATCCTCCATAAACAACTTGGCAGCTGTATTTATCCCATTTTTCTTCTGAAGATATCCCTCCTATCTTATATCCCATAGAAATGTGTCTATCTAAGTTTGTCTATTCATCTGGACCCAAATAATTTTTAAATTTTTCTGGTGTTGATTCCTTTTTAATTAATTTTGTGACAGGGTCTCCCTATAGCCCCAGCTGGCTTGGAACTCTCCACTATGTAGACCAGGTTGGCCTGGATCTCACAGAGGTCCACCTGCCTCTGCCTCCCAAGTGCTGGGATTAAAGGCTGTGCTACCATGCTTATTTATTTTTATGTGTATGAGTGTTTTGCCTGCATATATGTATGTGTATCAATTCTGTGCAATGCCGACAGAGGCCAGAGGAGGGCACTGAATCCCCAGGAAATGAAGTAATAGACAGTTGTTGGCTACCATGTGAGTGCTGGGACCCAAACCTCGGTCTTCTGGAAGAGCAGCCAGTGTTCTTAAGCACTGAGCCATCTCTCTAGCCCCTGACTCCTATTTTTAAGAGCAAAAAATCTTTCTTGTAGAATTACTACAACCTCCTAAAGGGTACATGAAAAAGAAAATTTAAGATTTT